GATTTGTTTCTTTTCTCTAACTGCTTGTAGAACTTTGTTCTTCTGTTGAGTTTCTGGAATCTTAACAATTATATGCCTATGTGTAGTTTTTTTTTTAATCAAGGCTATTTGGAGTCCTGTATGCCTGACTTATCTGTATGTCAAGGTCTTTTCTCTTGCTTGGGAAGTTTTCTGCCATCACTTCTGTGAATAGTGTTTTTATGTCATCTCCACTCTCCTGTTTCTTCCTTGACTCTAATTAGTCTTATGTTATTCTTCTTTGCATCATCTAGCAGCTGCTGGATTGATTTCTCGTGGTCCCTTAAAATTTTAAAGCAATTTTTCTTTTTCTGGTCGGTAATTGCCATCTTTCTTCTATATCTGAAATTCTGTCTTCCCATTGGCTCATTCTGCTGTGTAAACTTTCAGTGGAGTTTTTAATCTCCTGGAAATCTGTTTGCATGTGTTTTATGGATTCCGTTTGTTTCCTGTGTTGAGATTCCATCATGTTCCTCAGCTCCTCTCTGGATTTATTAATCATGTCTTGCACTATGAGCACAATCTCTGGTGTTATGTGAGAAATTATTTCTGATTTCATTTTTTCAAGATCCCCTTTTTTTGCCAGTTCAGGGAATCCAGGTGGTTGAGTATCAGAGTGTTCCGTCTCATTTCCCTTTGGGGTTGCTGTAGGTGATTTGGAAGTCTGGTTTTGAGACTTTACGTGTTTTCTCATTTTGAGTTGGGGGCTGCTACCGGTGACATCAGAGCTCACCTCCTCTGGGCTGGGAGCAGTGACCTGGTGGCCCAGTGGTCCAGAACCCTCCTCCTCTGGGCTGGGAGCAGTGCTGTAAATTAGTTTGTAGAGGTTTTAGTCCATAATCAGCTAGCTTCAAGGCAGGAATGGCAAACAGGCATTGCAGAGGAGAAGCAATGTGACACACATAAGGCAGCAAAAGCTGGTTTTGGTTTTTTGAGGCAAAGTCTCTCTATGTAGTTCAGGCTGGTCTTGAACTCACTACATAGACCAGGCTGGCCTTCAACTCAAAGTGATCCTCGTGGCTCAGCCTCAGCCTCCGCCTCCGGAGTACTGGGATTGCAGGTGTGCATCATTATGCTCAACCACTAAAAATTTCTCTCTACCTGGAATGAGAGACCTGAAATTATGTTGTTCTCTCACCCTTGCCAATTGAACCAGTCTCCCAAAATTGGAAATTTCAATTTATATATGCTGCACAGTCTCAGTTAAATGTGTTCCAAGTAAGCAGCTTTGGAGCCCTAGAGGAATTGAAAGGGACTGAATTTGACATGAATCCCAGACAAAGAAAGATTAAGAGAAAGCAGACTTGACATTGAAACCAACTAGTTTCCTAATGGCTTTCCCATATGTTTATAACAAATATGTATGCCACCTATATGCCAGACACTATAGTGGGCATAAAGTGATGAGAGGAACAAAACAGACAAATTCCTTTCCCTCTTGGAACCATGCTAATGGAGAAAGTATATAGTGATAAAGGATGAATACGGAGTGTGGTAAGAACTGTGAAATAAGTACGGTGAGGGGTCAAGGGGAATGGATCCAGGAAAGCCTGTCAGAGGACCCATCCCCTAAGGGCTGAGGGTGAGAAAAGTTGAGGGAAGAGTATTCCTGTGGGAGTTGGAAGAATTAGGAATCTTCTTGGCATAGGGAACCGTTAAGTGAGAAGGTCCTCAGATAGGAAGGAGACATCTTTGAGGAACAGAAAAGATTTTGGAGTAAAGATGTTGGTAGAGAAGTATTATAATTTGATTGTTAAAATATCTTTTGAATGGTGGCTGTATTTCCTACTCTTAGGCTCTATGATATATCCTTGTATCCGTATGTTAAATGCTCCTTTAAAAAAAAAAATCATAAACTGGTTTGAATAAATGTCAGTTATAGTTACTTGTACCAAAAAAACTGAATTAAGACAACATCCTTATAGATGTTTGTGTATACAGCCCTGGCCTTTTCCAAGGATAAATCCCATTTACCTTTTTTTCAGTTAACGATCACATGGTTGTTTCCACTTTTTGGCTGTTGTGAATAATGCACTTTGGAATATTCTTGTACGTACAAAAGCTTTGACTTGTGTTTGGTCAAATCACCATTGCCTTTGTAAAGATTATCATCTTGTCATGTTAGAATAGCCTTCTTTACCTACAGACTAAATAAATACTTGTCTATCTTAAAAATTATGTTCATGACTTTTATTAAATTTCAACTTTTATTCCATATGAAAATGCATTTTGGTTTAATAGTGGAGAAGGAATATACAGTTTTTCCCAATACATACAATCACTAGATGCTTGCAGATAATTTACTAAATGTCTTTGTTGATCTGAAACACTGTTTATATCAAAATAGAAAATATGTAATGGAAAATGTTTCCAAATTTTGTTTTATTCCTTTCATTTCTTATATCTTCTTCTTACAGACTCCATTGTAATTTCAGTAGCTTCATAATATTGCCTTTTAAGATCTTTAAAATATATCCTGCCGCTTATCTTCATTTTTAAAAATCAGAATGTTCCAAAAATTACTGTATATTTTGTCAACTTAAAGAATTCCAATGGAATTCTAACCAATGTTGGGTTAAATTTATAAATTTAGGAAATGTGAGGAACAGGCCCCCCTCACCTTTGATCGTGCACAATGGACAGAACAGATCAGAGTGAGGACCTGGAGTGCAGTAAAAGCGAGACTTTATTTCTCCATCTTGAAAGAACAGGTGCCAACCTAACAAATGGGCTGACACACCGAGTGCTTACAGCAAGCAGCTTAACTCCTGGCCACAGTGTCTTTCTGTCTGTGCCTCCTCACACACACAATTCACTTACCCCCTTTCTCATTGGCCAAGTACTCTGAGTACCCGTGGCTGGCTCCCTTTGTAAACATTTTGTGGGTTTTAAAAGCAAATTACTAAGCTACAGGGGCAGCTTCTTAACTGCCACTACTTTTACAGTCAGAGCTAGCACAGTGAATGCCATCCTTTATTGACCATCTACCCTCCCTTTTGTTTAGAGACCCTTTCAGATGCATGACCTCAGTCACATCTGCAGGCTAATAGTAGTTTTCACTCAGAGTTAAAGCCTTTATATCATGAAAATAGACTGGTTTAAGTTTATATTTCTTACAGGAAAGAATTGTCAATTTGTAATCTTTCTGTGCTGTCATGAATCTGGCATGTCTCCTTTATTCAGGTTTTTCTTTTGTATAACTTTTCCTGTTGGTTATGTATCTTCTTAGTGAAAGGTATTTCTAGATAGTTATTCTTGTTGCTATTATAATTGTTTAGCCTCCCCTGCCCCAGATTTTGGTGTTTTTGGGGTTTTGGTTTTGAGGGGGAGTGCTGGTATTGAACCCAGGACCTTGGTAGGTGAGCATTTTACCATTGAGCTAAACTTCCAACCCCTTTTTAAATTTTTATTTTGAGGTAGGGTCATTGCCAGGCTGGCCTGGACCTCTTGATCCTCCTACCTTATCCTCTGGAATAGCTGGGATTACAGACATCTGCTCAGCTCTCCATTGTGTTTTGAACTGGTTATTTCATTACATTAGAAAACTTTGGCTCTTAGCGCTCAGCCAGTTTATTGGCTTTTTCTTAGTTGTAATTGTTTTTAGTTGATTCTCCAGTGTTTTCACAAGGAACAGACAGAAGCCATCAATCGTACCAAAGTAGAGAAAAGGACCCTAAAGAAAAAATTGGGTATATTATAGGAACTCAAACCCTCCAGTGGAATTATGCTTGTCAAGTCAGTGAAGGCCTTTTTGAGGAAGCAGTATTTAAAGAGAAAGCTGAAAGTGCAGTAGGAGATAGCCAGACAGATGGGAGGGAGAACTTCCAACAGAGACCAGCATGGTTGATGGTCTGGAGGTGTGGTGTGTGCAAGGGCCCTGAGCTGAGATGAGTGGCCAGATAGGGGATGAGGCCCTTGAGGCCATGCTAAAGCAATTACATCAAATTTTGAGCCCACAGTAAGCAACAGGACATTCTCAACAGAGGTGAGAAACATTTGAATTTACATTTTCAAAAGATTACCCTAGCTACTTGGTGAAAATAGATAAAAGACAAGCAGGAGTGGTAGAGGAGTCCTGTTAGGCAGCTGCAGTAGCTTAGCAGCAAACCTACTAGTCTTGGTCAAGGCTGTCGGTAATGCCATTTCTCTCTCCTCAGACCATTAGTCTCTGTGGAGTAAAATAAAAATTTTATTGGCTTGAAAAATAAGTTTTATCCATGTATCACTAAAATAGGATGTCTAACTCTTTTGAGAAGATACCTAGAAGGGGAATACCTATGTTTATAGCAGTACAATTCATAATAGCTAAATCTTGGAACCAGTCTGTGTGTCCATCAACAGATGAATGGATAAAGAAACCTTGGTATTTATAAACATAGTGGAGTGCTACTCTGCAATAAAGAAAGGTAAACCTGGGCCGGGGATTTAGCTCAGTGGTTCCGCCGCCTGTCTTGCAAGTGGAAGGACCCGAGTTCAATCCCCAGTACCAAAAAAAGAAAAAGAAAAGAAAAGAAAGGTAAACTTGAGTCACTTGTAGGAAAATGTATGCATCTTGAGACCATAATGTTAAGTGAAATAAATCAGACACACAAGCTTAAATATCACATAGTTTTTCTATTATGAGAAAGCCAATTGTAAATAAAGAGCAAAATGAAAAATAATAAAAAGTAGAAAGAGATCTTTCTAGAATGGGAAGAGAAGAGATAGAGGGAAGAGGGAGGGGTAGGAAAGGGGATGAAAAAAGGAATTAAGATGTGTTGTGTACATGAACCAACTCCACACAGGGAATGTAAACATTGTGTACTGTAAAAATGGACTAAAAAATATAAAAAGTAAGTTTTATATTGGAAGTGGGCCACTAGTAGGCTACATTTTTTATTGCATGACTTGTAACTTCATGAAAAGCAACTCTTGATGTATTTGTCAGGTGTCCTATGTTATTCGAGATGAAGTGGAGAAGTACAATCGAAATGGAGTCAATGCTCTGCAGCTGGACCCAGCACTAAATAGACTTTTCACAGCTGGGCGAGACTCCATCATAAGAATATGGAGTGTCAATCAGCACAAGGTAAGACAGGTTAAAGTCTGTAATCAGTAAATTTCAGACTAATGACTTATCTAATAGGATGCCTTTTTTCAGTTTCAGACTTACCATCTTTGAGCAGTGAGTTTTTTGGTACACTTGTAAAGTTGTTGCAACAGAATTTTATAAGCCTCTGAGAAAACTGTCCCTACAAGAGTTTCAGAAGTATTATAGCCACAGCAGGGACTTTCTTGGTACCAGGGATCGAACTCTGGTCCCTGTGCTTGCGCAGCAGGCGGCGAAATCACTGAGCTAAATCTCCGGCCTCACAGCAGGGACTTTTAAGAGTCCACTGCCACAAAGGAGCAATGATATTTGGCTGGTAGAGAGTGACTGTTTTCAACCATTTTTTTTGCTCTAAGTATGATCCCCAAAAGCTTCTTGGCAACCATATATTTTATAAAAGCTTGGGTATGCTTTTACAATTATAATTAATCTTAAACAATATTTTCTTAAAAGTGATCAGAGTACCCACAAAACCCCTAGGATCTTTTTCTATAGTCTAAGTTGTATAAAACTGTGACGACAGCATGGTCCCCTTCTTCAAGAGGTATCCTTTCCTTATACAAGGAACAAGGTTAAATACTGTATATGGAAAGATAAATCCCCAAATAGGAGGAAATTCCTGTTATTTTGCTTGATGCTCTGTACTGTGAATGAAGGGGAAAGGAAATCTAGGGGAGGAAAAGGAGCATTCATTGAGCTCTTAACTATGTGCCATTCTTGGCACTTCCCTACCCACCATGATTTTAATTCTGACAGGAATCCTTCAAGGCAGCTCTTCTGACCCATTATCATAGGTGAGAAAACAGGCTCAGAGCAACCATTGGTTAAATGGTTATTAAGGGGCAGTGAATTAGAACCTAACCTAACTTTAAAACCCTGGATAGTTTAAAAAATCTGTGTCTTTTTATCAAGCTCTACAAATCTGTTGTTCAGTGCAGAAAAGGAACTACTACCTGGTAGAGTTGCTAGGTAAGGTTTTTTAAGTGGACTTCAGTCTAGCAGGCTTTGAATTCATTAGCCAGTGAAGACAGTGGTATGCCAATGTCAAAAACAGAAAATAAAACTTTATGTTTGGCTTTTTTTTTTTTTCGGTTTTTTTGAGACAGGATCTCATTACATAGATCAGACTGGCCTTGAACTCACTGTGTAGTCCAGGCTGGCTCAAACTCATGGTGATTTCTCTTGCCTTAGCCTACCAAGTGCTGAGATTACAGGCGTGAGCAACTATGCCTGGCTTATGTTTGGCTTTTAAGTGCTTTCTGATACTTATATTTGAACTAGAATGTATCTTTTTGACAATTCACAGTATTTCAAACAAATTAAGGGAAAAAACTCAAAAGAACTAATGTGGACAATCTGGAAATGCGCCTGTCTTCCCCTCAAACATCTTTTCTGGTCTTCCGTTTATGACAAGATTGAATAGGATCATTTCTCAAATAGCCATATAGAAATCTGTTTTCTTTGCCCATGTAGTGTACTAAACTTTCCTGTTTTCAGTGTAGGCTGTAACTAGAGTCTCCTCTTTCAAGGGCTTCTCCTGGTAATTAAGCCAGATGAAAAGAGTAGAAGGGTCTCCAGTTACTAAATTGAAACGGTGGCCCAGGCAGTGTTCCCTCAGTCCTTGACTTGACTCTCCCCATGCTGTTTTCTGTGAGCCTTCACCACCTGCAAAGTCAAACCTTCGCCAGCCTGCAGCTTCCCCTCACTCAGAGCTTGTTGCCTTCACTACGATCAGGCATAAAAATGAAGCATTACTCTGGAAACCTGGGCTTTCATGAAATGCCCTGAACAAAGTTATTTACATCTGTTATGGAAGCATCACCTATGTGCAGTTCTCTATAGTCAGTTGTCAGTGCCAAGACCTCTGAGCAGTGTGTCACATTAATTGAAGAATCTGAGCATATCTATAATCTGTAATGTATTTCACTTTCTAATATAGACTCATGAATTTTCTTTTATTGTCAGCAAGACCCGTACATAGCATCTATGGAACACCATACTGATTGGGTAAATGACATTGTACTGTGTTGTAATGGGAAAACATGTAAGTATCTCTTTGGCTTTTGGGCTTCTAGAAGTTTTTAATTCAATTTGATAATGTTTTTCATTTTTATGTAAGCTTTTTTATTGAAGTATAAAATACGTACAGAAAAGTACCCGAACCTTAAGATTACATACAGTTCAGTAAAATTACGGAATGGCTTACCAGAAGCCCCCTTGTGGCTCCCTTTAGTCAGTGCACCTTGCCTCATGGTAACTGCTGTTTTGTCTTATGAACACCATAGATTAGTTTTACCTGGTTTTGAACTAAATAGACTTACATAACACATATTTTCCTTTAGCCTTATTAATACCTTCTTTTGGTAAGATCTTTTTATTTTTGCAGCCTGAGTTAAAGAAATTTTTTCTCAGACAAATTGTTTGGACCTTCATCTGGAACATTGGAAAAGTTTGTACTGCCTATTAAAAAAGAAAAGTGTGTAATTGTATGTGTGTGTGTTTGTGTTTGTGTGTTTATGGCAATATATGCAGGAGATGAGCCTGCTAGGAATGACTAACCAGAGGGGGAGAACAGAGATTAAAGACACAGAGAATGAGGGGCCCAGGGGGATCTTTCCTCTAGGGGACAAAGAGCCGTGAGCATTTGGCTCAGCTCACTTTTACTCACTTAGACACTGGAGCAAGTAATTAGGTTAAGAGATGATTCATCTGCCTTTTGTTATGTACAGCATGTACCCAGGTAAATATCCAGATCTCAGCTGTATTGACTCTTCTCTGGAACTTGCATTGTGCTAGCATGCCTGCACTTGCCAAAGGAGGCACAGCTTGCTGTTTTTCTCTTTTGTGCCCACAGAGAAGGTCAATTAGGCCTCGATCCTCATTTTCTGGTTTCCTACAAATATACATTAGGTTCTAGAGAGAGTTTTTAAGATTATGCATGTGAACTTTAGTTTGAGATAACGTTACCTTGTTTAAGGTAAGTTTTAAAAGTTATTCAAAGGCATGCCACTGAGGGTTTTGTTAATTCTTTGCCTTTTCTAGTAATATCTGCTTCTTCTGACACGACAGTGAAAGTATGGAATGCACATAAGGGATTTTGCATGTCAACATTAAGGACACATAAGGTAAAGCACTAACTGTTCTCATTGTCTTTAGTGTAATGTTGGGATCTCAGTACTTCATGTGGCTTTTCTTATTGCAGATTAGATCATAATATGTCTGTTCTGTTACAGGATTATGTAAAGGCCTTAGCATATGCTAAGGATAAAGAACTGGTAGCATCAGCTGGGTTGGACAGACAAATATTCCTTTGGGATGTGAATACTCTAACAGCATTGACTGCTTCAAATAACACTGTCACAAGTAAGGTGTTTGGTCAAAATTTCTTTCAAAGTGATCTAAGTTGAAATAAAGAATAGTTTGTAAAACATCTCTAATAGGTTTGCATTGAGACAGTTGTTCATGTTTTGAGAATGCTTTTACCCATAGCATTCCAGCCCCTAAGAGAACAAGAAGCTAGTTCCTCACTGCAGTCTAAACATGGTCACTTCTCCAGGTATAACCTGGTTATTTTTTTCTATGTACATGTCTTAGCTCCCCAGCTAAAGTGAAAGTCCCTGCAGGATAGAAGAGCCTGTCTGACCACTACTTTATATTTCCCACAACTTTGGCTGGCCCAAACCCACACACTTTTCAGGCATTATTGAAGGAGATTGTGATTACTTGACAAAGTAGGCAGTTTGGTGACTTAAAAGTATTATTATATATTGTGAGCTTTTGAGTTAATGACCTAGGTGGACAATACCCAGGGAAAGAAAAGATTTCCAGGGCTAATTAAGAAAGATTGTTTCAGAGCAGCTCTAAAAAATCCAGTGAATTCCAAAAGAGAGGAGAAAGGCCAGGATGCTTCTAGAGACAATTCAGAGATATTCACACAAGGTTAATAGTGTGGCTGTTTAATGAACTAGCAGATCTCAGACTTATACAGATCTCAGTTTGAAATTCAGCATGACATTTGGCCCAGCCTACCAGAACACTCTAGGCCAGGTTTCGGAATGGGCTTAGAGGAGCACATTTTTGGCTTAGCCTAGATTGGAAGTCTGTGTTCAAGACATAGGCCTGGACTATCTAGATCTCTCCATCATAGATCTAGTTTGTCTTGACTCTTTGGAATCCTCACACTGATGTAGGTAAAGTACTTCTAAACCAGGTGTGGTGGCACAGGCCTGTAATCCCAGCACAGAAGGCTGAGACAAGAGGGTCACTGAGTTCAACGTTAACCTGGGCTATATAGTGAGTTCAAGGCCAGTCTGAGCTACATAGTGAAACCCTGCTCCCAAAAAATGTACTTCTAGTATAACCTAATACCTACTATATGCCAAGAATAGCAAGTTGGGAATCTGGTATTTATAATTTCTTGAATTTTCTTTTGCCGTGTTTATCAGGAAATCTATGTGAAGACACTGCTCCCCCTGTTCTCCTTGATTGTTCACCTCCGTGGCATCTTGCTGTGATTGAGCTGCTAGTGCCTATGGGGACTACTGTACTGATACTTTATTAGTTTCTCACTCTCCATATGTCAGGCCTGCCTCAAAGGGACACTCAAGAGGAGGGCACGATGCAGTAAAAGTACAGTTGTTTCAAAGTCGGAGGCGAGGCTTAGTGGGTATAGTCTGCTGTGTGTAGTCTTGCTTAGACTTATTCAGAGAGGATTCCACACAATTATTTTTTTGTTTGTAGAAATAATAATAGTTAACATCAAAAACCAGCAGATGTTTTTCTGAACACTTAACATGTATTAATTCCTTTACTGATAATTTCTTGGTATGTTTACTTACTGTAAAATTATGGTCATACATTTATAAACAGTTTTGTATGCAATTTTTCACTTCTGTGATATTGAGTTCTGAGTTAAAGGATATAAGCATGATTCTTGCCATTTGCTTTGATTTGTGTTTCCTTGACTAATACTGAATTTGGACATTTTTTCATGTTTATTGGTACATGTATGTCTTTGAAAATATATTACTTATGTGGATGGTTTTTATTTGTTGTTTTGTTTTTTTGGTACCGGGGATTGAACTCGGGTCCTTGTGCTTGCGCAGCAGATGGCGAAACCACTGAGTTAATCCCTGGCCCTGTGGATGGTTTTTAAATGACAGTGCAGTTCAGTTAAGGAAATATCTATTGGGCATGTGTATTACTCAAATCTAGAAAAAGATAATACATTTTAATCATACTGTTGTTTAGAATTATCTTCATTATAGATTTCCTTCCCTTAAAGTAGTCATAAAGCTAAGATTTTTCTAAATTAAATAATTAAACCTGTAATTTTTGCTCACTAGTTCCTAAACAGCTGATAATTTTGTTAACACTAGCTCCATTTATCCTCACTAGCTTCTTCTTTAAGTGGGAACAAAGATTCTATTTATAGCCTGGCCATGAATCAACTTGGAACAATCATTGTATCAGGTTCCACTGAGAAGGTAAGGGGAAACCTTACAAAGTATATTTGAGTATAAGAAAACAAACCAAAATAATTTGTTCTGGGAAATTATTAAATATATAAACAGTTTTGCCTAGTGGATGTTAAAAGAAAACGTTATTTGCATAAATAATAGTGTAACTGTGTAATGGCTGTCTGGGGGATGGCGGCTGTGTATTTTGGGACATTAAAAAAGCTTCCTCCCTAAGGTTAAGAGCATTAGACACCTGGCATTGACTGAAACAATATTTAATAGTTGTCGTTTGACTTGTAAAAGTTGTTTATTTAAATTTAATTATATATTCAGTTTGTGTAATATTCTGTTAAAATTCACAGGTTTTAAGGGTATGGGATCCAAGAACATGTGCAAAACTAATGAAGCTTAAAGGACACACAGACAATGTGAAAGCTCTGCTGTTAAACAGAGATGGCACCCAGGTATGCGGCTTCAGGTGGACATGTACCCAGTGGCCTTAACAGAGATTTCTTCACTCTGCATATTGTTGTATAAGTTGATTTGAACCAAAAGCCATGTGTATAAATGATGGCCTAAATTTTAATCTTTAAAACTGCACATATTATCCATATTTTAAAACTGTTCTGGTTTCGTCACTTTCACGTAAAGGGAAAACAAGAAATTTCCTTGGAATAATTCTAATACAGAGGAGTATATACAGTTATGGTATAGAGAAGTTAAAATAACTGAAAATGTTATGTATGTTGGTGGCATGTGCCTATAATCCTACCTCCTAGGGAGATTGAGGCAGGAAGATCACAAGATTGAAGCAAGCCTGGGTATCTTAGCAAGACCCTGTCTCAAAATAAAATTAAGGAGGACTCAAACAAAAGAACTCAGCACTCCCTGGGTTCAGTCCTTGGTACTGGCGGTGGGGGTTTAGCTCTTAGTGTGTAGGTTCCTGTGTTGTAAAGCAGAAGGAAGCTTTAATATTGAACACTTTTTGCCACTGTATTAAGTGGAAAATTTCACGCAATTATGACTTGGGCACATTTTGTCAGTTGACTATGTCCCACAGTTTAACTTTCTGATACCACTTAGAATCAGCATTTCATATAAAAACATTTCAGAAATGTTTAAACGTTAGCTTATTGGCTACAAAATATGTAAATTAGAAATCACAATTCTTTTGTTCTGAGGTAGTGGAAAAATTATTTTCATCAATGTAAATAATAGACAAAAACTGAGTAGCATTGTATGGTAGGATATCCCTCTACCACATACCCCTGTCTCCCCTGCTATTTTTCTTTCTGAAGGCAGTGAGAAGTTTCGAGATAATTGGAATTGATTGTGTTGGTTAGAAACTGGTGAGTAGGAAGATAGTGAGGTAGGATACACCATCAGTCTGTTACTCCTGTGGATATATGACAATGGAAATTGCCTCACAGATGAATCAGAGAAACTTTTGTTTTCTGGCTTAGCAGATTCAGATTCTGTTGTGGACAGTCTTGAAAAGTAAAGAAAGGCAATCATTTTTCACAACCATAAGTTACCTGTGACTTGGAGATACTTCTAGAGGTCTTTGGAAATGGAAAGATCTTGACTGTGTGTCTTGAGGGCAGCACTTCACATTCACTGGTCTTTAATGTCTTCATCTGCAAAGTAGGAATCATTTGTAGTCAAGCCCAGCACAGTCAGCTTCTCACTGCTTTGCAGTAGAGTTGCCGGGCTGCACTTGAGATGGTTGCTCATACTCGTTCAGTTAGCTTCGTTTAGGACTAGACATGGTCTCCATGGTTTTCATTGGGGATGTGGACCTGGCAGCCCTTCTAATGCCCCTCCTGCACTGCACTGTATACCTTGCTTCCTATTTGTACAAATGGATGTGCTCCTCTAAATTATTTAACTGTCACATGTACATAGCTATAGTTGCACTTCCTCTGAAGTCAGCTACATTTTACTATGACCAGAGACAGTAATGCGGCTCTACTCTAAAATCTGTCTTAGAGAGTGCATAATTGATAGGTATCATTCCTCATCTCGTTTGCCCTTCATCCATTTTCCTTATTGGCAACTGTAGACTAAATTTTACTACAAACAATATAGCATATTTATATTAATCTATCAACAAAACTATAATAACTACTCATTGGGAGAAAGAGGAGGAAAGAAGAAATATCTACTTCCTGATTTTAACTATTGTAATACAGAAGAGATAGTTTCTGGGCCAGAATGTGTATTGTGTCCTACAGACTTGCCATGTAAGCTTATATTATAGGGTCTCTGGTGGCATTGTTAGAGACTTGTAAGATGGAGGCCAATGAATCCCATGAACATCTGCCTGTTACCTCGCTCCTTCATTGTAGAGTAAGATTTCATTTACTAAATCTAATTGAGGATTTGCCCAAGGGAATTATTCCTGTGAAGGCTGTCAGAATTGCAGTTGTTTTGATTGGTTCCAGTATTGGGCAGAGTCACTTGTCTTCTGATTCATTGTACTCACTCAGGCAATTAATAGCTTGAGGAACTGGGACAACCTATCATCTTGGTTTGAATTGAGCAGGTCCTTGTGTATCACTCACAGAATTTTTCTGGTGATACAAATCCCAGACCTAACAAGAGTCTGTAGGCCTGTGTCAGGCTGCTCTCCATTGGCAGTTGAGCTTGAGTAATGAGTGACCATCCCAGGAACATGCCTGTTGGTGAGCATACTGGCCCCAGTATGTGGGTATTTCCCTCTTCCCTGGAAAACAGAGCATCTGATCAGGGCTACAGAATCTGTTTCACTCAGTCTGACTTAACAAAACAATTTGGGACATTCTGTTCTGGTCTCTGAAGTTGTTTCATCATGACCATCTCCATGTTTACCCAGGAGAGGGACAGAGACAGTAAAAAATATTTTGATGACTCATCCAGCTTCTACAAGGAACACTTGAATTCTTAATGCTGCAAAGATATTGGCCAACATTATACTTTAAAACCAGTTGCTTTGTGTTTGGGGGCCTGATTTTTGGTAGCCTTAGAATACTGACTACCATGAGAGATTTTGTGCTCTATATCAGAATTGGTATAACTTTGAGTTTCCTCATCTGCTGCTATCTGTACTCTGGATTTGGAACATATTTCTTCTCTATTGCAAGTTGCCCAGTTGTGAGGATTTCCAAGGCATCATCTTTACCTTCCTTCACCTCTGTTAGACCTTTTTCTCTGTAGGTGTAGGTGCATGTAGATCAGAGCCTTATTAATAGTGTTGCCACCTCAGACCAGCATCTCCTCCTGGAATGGAGAGACCCTCCTGACCCCTACCCCACAGTGCCAGGGTTCTCCACATACAGAGCACTTATAACCTTACTCTTACTGTTTCTGTGTTTATTAGTCTCTTTGTTGTTTTGTCATTAGGATAGGTGATTAAACCCCAGATGCTCCTGGCAGTTTGTGAAGGAGCATCCTAGTATATGCTCATTTAATGAAACCTGCCTAGCATAGTGAAAGACCGTTAACATTCCTAAAAGCTTCATCTATTCAACCCAAATCTCCAAGCCCACACTCTTTTCTTTGAAGCCCTTTGCTTATTAATTTCATACTCCAGCACCAGTAGTTCTTTTCCTTCAGGGTCATTCTTTTTCACAAGAAATGAAGCTTGTGTTCTCTCTCAAGTCACCACAGTAACTGCTGGAGAACACTAAGCAGGCCAAGTGTGGGTCTGGGGTGGCCAATTCAGCCTGTTGCTCTCATGCTCACAGTGTATTCAGCTTAATTTGTATGTCAGCAGCTTTTATGTAGTTGACTCTCCTGCACATTCAAAATTGTCAGAATTGCTGTTAACTCACTTGAGGAGTGAGTTATTAGAAGTGTTCAAGGTAACACAGAGAGTGAGTGGTAAGCCTGGGACTAGGACTTGCTTCTTATTCCTGTCAGTAGAATCCAGGAGACCTTTGAAGATGTCAGGAATCCAGAGCCATGAAAGAGAAGATGAGACAGAGTTGTGACCCAGAAGGCTTGCTGGCCTACTGCAGTGTTCATCAAACTTAGTGTATATCAGAATCATTTCAAGGGCCTGTTAAAGTATCCAGTGCTGGGCCTTACCAGAGTTCCTGCTCATTAGATCTGGATGGAACCCAAGAATTTACATGTTTACCAAGTTCCCAGGGGAGGCTGAAGCCGCTGGGGTCACTGAAGCCTTATCTTCAGCTGCTTTCAAATCCTCCCTCCCTTAGTAATAGATAATCAGAATAGGACTTGCCTGCAAGACTAACAGTACACAGGCGGCTAGGGAGAGAGGACAGAGGCAGTCTTATGAGAGGTATCTCCTGCTTGAGTGTGCACTGTTGCCTTTGATCATTTCAGACTGTGGTGTGGGTTTGTCAATCCTTTACTAGAGACAGGAGTACAGGTTATTAGACGTATGTACTTGACGGTGTAGAGTTAGTGCGGAAGCCAAGTGCAAGGCACAGGAAAACAAGAACTCCTTAGTAGGTTTCTAACTTTACTTGCTTGTTTGCAGTGCCTCTCTGGTAGTTCTGATGGGACAATTCGCCTTTGGTCCCTTGGCCAGCAGAGATGTATAGCAACATACCGAGTACATGATGAAGGGGTTTGGGCCTTGCAAGTCAATGATGCCTTCACACATGTATATTCTGGAGGAAGGGACAGGAAGATTTATTGTACAGACCTAAGAAACCCTGACATTCGAGTGCTCATTTGTGAAGAAAAAGCACCAGTTCTCAAGGTATGTCATATATTTTAGTTTTATAATTAAGGTTTTTATATGGTTAGCTAAGTATAGCAAAATTTGTATTAGAATATGAATCGACTATGGGGCTTGAACAAAAATGCTATTTTATCTTTAGGTAGAACTTACATGGTAAGGAAGAATGAATGCCTGTCTGGGTGGCAGAGTATCAGAATAGATACTTAGGATAGTTGCTGGGGTAGTTTGGAGGTCACCTGTAGAAGTAATTGTGACTTCTTGGGTGCATCAGTGATGCATGGCTCTCCCAATGAACTCTAGTGGGGTTGTCTCACACTTGCTCCTAAGCTTGCCTCACTCCTCTCACCTGAACTTAAGAGGAATGTGAGCTGTAAGATTATCTGTAAGCAGACACCAAAGCAAAGTGAGGTATGGGAAATGTGTCCGTGTTCTCAGGAATAAGCAGGTGAAAGAATACACCTGAAGGGGAGGAGAAAGAGCAAGCTGCTTCATACTCCAGACATTCACTCCTTCAGAACAATCCTGATAATTAAGATCTGTGTCATTGAGTAAAAGAGAACCCAAAATAGAGGCACACCCTAATGGAGCAAACAGTGATCCTTTAAAAAAGTAGATCATTGAAGCTGAATTAACGAAGCATGTGAGGAAGCAGCAGGCTAATGGAAAGAGGAGCATGGAGGAGAAACACTGCTCTGTGAGTGCTGCAGATGCCAGGATATCTTGGCTGTAGAGAAAGACAAGAAGTTAGCACAATCGTAACCAAACATTAGAAAGAGCATCTCTGACCTGAGGAGGACTCCTGAGAGCTGGGAGTCCAGCTTTCTACATCTGCAGTTACCTGTGGTAGGAATAGTAGTGAATAAATGTAAAGGGATTCCATTTGTTTAATATATACATGCATTTAGTATCAAGTGTTTTAAAAATAGAAAATATATAGTAATATGTTTCCAGGTATCTTGTCCTTGGGTAAGGTGCCCTTTTCACTTTTGTTGTGGTGTTCAAGTGGTTTTTTTACTACAGACATTTTCAAAGAAAAAAGAACTGTGTTTCCTTGTTAATAAGAAAATATTAAAAACTAGAGTAGCAAAAACAAAATTATGCAAAGTCTACATCCTTTTCACTGTATTCATTTAGGTCTCTCAACCACACATAAAACTTTTAGCCACTGTTTTTTTTTTTAATCCTTTTATTGGTACATTTTATATATATAACACGTTTACATTTATCATTGGGTACTTGTATCTGTACATGATGTATCTTGGTTCTTATTTTTTTTCCCCATTACCTGTGCGCCCTTCACCCCCTCCACCCTTCCCTATTTACATAGATTTTGTTTCCATTTTTTTTCTTTTCTCATAATTTTTCCTTTCCCTTCTTTCCCTTCCCTTTCCCCTCCCACTGCCCCTACACCTGTGGACCTTTTCCTATTTCAAGTTATCAGTTATTCATTTTAATCATTTTAATCCTTATTTACACTTTCAGTTTCTCACACTAGAGAAACTATTCAGTATTTACATGTGTGTCCTATTTATTTCACTTCAGAGTATGGCCTCAATTTGCATCCATTTAGCTATAAATGTCTCTAGTTTCTCATTCTTTATGACTGAGTAGTACTCCATTTTATAAAAAAAGACAACACACATCTTCTTTATCCAGTTTCCAGTTGATGGGCACTTGGGCTGTTTCCAAGCTTTAGCTATTACAAACTGTGCCGCTATAAACATGGGTGCACATATATCACTGTGGTATGATTCTTTTAATTCTTTGGGGAAGATACCCAGCAGGGGGATAGCTGGGTCGAATGGGACCTCTAGTCCTAGTTCTTTGAGGTATCTCCATACTGATTTGCACAGTGGTTGCACCAGTCTGCACTCCCACCAACAATGGAGAAGGGTTCCTTTCTCCCCACACCCCCACCAGCATTTGGTATTGGTTGATTTCTTGATAGCAGCCATTCTTTCTGGGGTGAGGTGGAATCTCAGTGTTATTTTCATCTGCATTGCTCGAATGACCAGTAATGTTGAACATTTTTTCATATATTTATTTGCTGCTTTTACTTCTTTGAGAAATGTCTGTTCATTTCAGATGCCCATTTTTGAATTGGGTCTTTGAATTTGGGGGGTCTGATGTTTTTCATTTCTTTGTATATTCTAGATAGCAGTCCTTTGTCTGAGGAACAGCAGGTGAAAATTTTTTCCCACATTGTAGATTGTCTCTTAGCTCTGTTGGTGGTTTTTCTTGTAGTGCATAGCCACTGTTTTTGATACGAAGTTGGTCCTATTATACTTTTATAGGACTGCAGATTCCCTTAGCAAAGAGACTCCATATCCCGTGCCTCTGTGCTCTTAACACATGCCCTGGTGTAGTCAACATTGCAGCTGTTGAATAAAGCAATGTTTTTGTGCTCTGTCTTCAGATGGAACTGGATAGATCAGCTGATCCTCCCCCTGCAATCTGGGTTGCAACAACCAAGTCTACAGTAAATAAATGGGTAAGTGAACCTCTGAATTCCTGGCAAAGATTTATAAGCATGTGATTTGTCATTTTAAATCTGCCAGACACCTTTGGGCAATGGCAGAAACCTAAAAGCCATTATTAGTGGTGTGTGACCCTGACGATCATACTAAAATTAATAGTCAAAATGAAGCCTGTGACTCTTTGTCAGGAACAAAGGTATATATTTGTTATGGTTAGGCCAGGCATGGTGGTGCATACCTGTAGTCCCAGCACTTGGGAGGCTGAGGCAGGAGAATTGCTGTGAGTTTGAGGCCAGCCGAGGCTACATAGAGAGTTCAAGGCCAGCCTGTACTGCATATTGAGACCCTGTCTCAAAAAGAAACAAAAAAATTTGATGTGGTTAGAAAAGCGTGTTGCTTGATAAACCAATAAATACTGTACTAGCCTAGCTTCTGACCGCATGAAGCTACATCTGGAAGTCAGTAGTAGTCTAAGGACCAGCAAGTCAGAGAAATCTGTCAGGTTTCTAATTTTTTTAAACATAAGAAAGCAGAAAATTGCTTTCAGGTTTATTTCCTTGTTCTTCATAGCATGAAGAACAAGGATAGAAACAGACCAAAAACAAAGAGAAACTATCCAGAGCACCTTTAACTCTTAAATCTTAAAGAAGACTTAAATTTTTTTTTTTTACTTAAATTTTTTTGTGTAGCAGGCTCTTTGTGGAAAACAAAAGAGAGAATATCTTCATTTATTCCTGCTTATATGCAGACCAAATGCTCTTTCCTTATAAAACCTTACATCTCTTGTCTAAATTTCATTGTGCCAGCTTTGGATTGACATAATTTTACCTGAAACAGTACTCCAACTTTTATGCCTGGTTTTTTTCTCCCAAAGGATGCTATTCTCTCCTTTTTCTTTTCTTTTTTTTTTTAATATGATGTTAAGTAATTGTACTGTGACTAAATATTTTTGGTTGATATAGTAATTGTTTAAGTTTTCTGTTTGCTTTTTCTTTTTCTTGCCATCTTAAAGAGACAGCAAAACTTGTAGAGCATAAAATGATTAAATTTTGTTCCTTTAGACATTGAAGGGAATTCATAATTTTAGAACCTCTGGAGATTATGACAATGACTGTACAAGTCCTATAACTCCCCTTTGTACACAGCCTGACCAGGTTATTAAAGGTAAGAAAATTGTGAAGTCTCATATCTTTTATTAAGGCTAGTTATAGTTACTAAGAGAGTGATAAAAATGTAATTTCTTAAAAGTTAATTTCTTAATTTCTTCTTTAAATGTAATTTGGATGTAAACAAAAAACTAATAATGTATAGGTTTATTTTTAGTACAAAAAAATTTTAAATGCTGGGCTGGCGATTTAGCTCAGTGGTACTGCGCCTGCCTCACAAGCGCAAGGTCCTAAGTTCAATCCCCAGTACCAAAAAAAAAATTTTAAATGCTATTAGTGACTTAAAAAGGGACTTTGAGTTCATTTTTTTTTTTTGGTACCAGGGATCGAACTCGGGTCCTTGCACTTGCACAGCAGGTAGCGAAACCACTGAGCTAAATCCCCGGCCCCTTCGAGGTCATTTTTATTAACATATATTAATCATACACATTAATGGAGTTCAGTGTGATATTCATTACGTTCATATAGTACACACTGATCAAATACCGTCTCCCCTGCCCCTTTCCAGTCTGTAGTAATCATGCTACATTCAGACCAACTTTTTTATTTTTGTAATTTCCACATACGAGAAAACATGCAGTATTTGTCTTCCTGTGTCTGGCTTATGTCACTTAACGTGATGTCCTCTAGTTCCATCCATTTTGCTGCAAATGACAGTTGTACTTTATTCTTCATGGCTGAATACTAGTCCATTGTGTATATATGCCACATTTTTTCAGTGTATCAGAGCAATATTTCCACACCCATGTTTATTGCAGCATCATTCTTAAGTTAATTATTTTGCCCAATAGCAGAATAACCAGGGTAGAGCCAACAGCCTCTTTTTATTTTATTTTTTTTTTCAACAGCCTCTTTTTAAAATACCCAACTCATGAACGAGTTCCATTCCTGGAGAATGTTCATAAGTCAGATTCCTTCCTTAGTCCCACAAAATGAGTCTTATACACCTTTGACACAAGTACACAATATAAAGCACACACACACAAAACCAAATACAGAGTAATTCCCCAACTGTACTGTGCTACTGTACACTATCACACTGTACAGTAAACACAGCAGCACAACTCTGACAGTGTCTGGCAGCTATGTGAGGTATTTTCATGACTTGTTCGCATCTACTAATGTTCACAGTGTGAGGTCCATTCATATCTCTGGAAGTTCACAACTTAAATGTTCACAAGTCGGGGACTTACTGTATACTGTATAGGGTTTAATGTTTGTGGCACAAGCAGAATAGGGCAGATGTGGTTCTTATCTCATACATGCCTGGTTGTGGCATGTTGGTTGTGAGAAAAAACAAAATGTGTTTAATATCATAGCTTAGGTTTTAGAATCCTTTAAGATGCATTTGTCTGTAGTTCCTAGATGTTGTATTCTTACCGTTAGACTAGGATATCCATTCAAGAAGCATAGAAGGAAGATGGGAAGTGAAGTGAATTCAGGATAGTACTTGCCAGAGATTTTCTGTCATTAGTTGTACTTTATTCAGTGAATAAAACTGTTAGCTGTCAGCAGTTTTCTGCTGGTCATAGTCCCTTAAAGTAAAGAGCTCTTTAATCTATAGTCTATAATAAATTGGCTTTTCTTTGAATGTTAATAAGTTCAAATAATAAACCACAAATAATTGATTGTCCTTAAAGTGCTTTATACATTATATAATCTTCTAGTTTTCCTTTTCTAGTGGCTAATATAGCTTATGTTCCTGTTACATACCAGTAATATACTGTGAATTTAAATATAGAAGGATTTCTTGCTAATTGTGTTTTTCCCCCCTTTTAGGGGGTGCTAGTATTATTCAGTGTCACATTCTTAATGATAAGAGACATATATTAACCAAAGATACCAATAATAACGTGGCATACTGGGATGTATTGAAGGTGAGTATCTTTTTTAGTATTATATACAGGTTGTTGGATTATGTACTCCTTTTATTTTTCCTTTTATATACATGATACTAAACATAATAGAGGTATAAATTAAGAATTAATTGCAATAAAACTATTTGTTTTATTATATGCATGTTAAATAAATCCATAGTTTATCTTTTTAAGTACCTAAACTATTTGAATGAAGCCATTTTCTATGGTTAGTGTATTACAAGTTGTTCTATATGCCAACTTAGCTTGGAATGATATTCGTGCTGGTTAATTCCTTAGGTTCACTATAGTACCTTTAGCAGTATCCCTAGCCTCTACTCAGTAAATGCCGCTAGTCTCCCACCCACCCAAGTTGTGACAGCCAAACTTGACTCCAGATATTCCCAGATGTTAGGAGGGAAGAAGAAAGGATACAGAATCACCCTACATTGAAAGCCACTGGAGTGCACAAAATAAGTTTTGCTGTTTCTTAGGATTTATAGCCATCACTGAGCATCTCTGGCACAAGCAGAATACAGCTCTGGGTCATATTGCCCCCTGTTCCCTGGGATAGTTGAGATGCATTCAGTTGTTCAACCACATTCTAAAAACAGCACTGTCCCTTAATGTCCCTTAATGTTGGTGTACTTGTTCATTTGCCCAACAAATATTTCTTGGATGTAGTGATTATTGTGAGCAAAGAACTGTGTTTGAGGATCATAAATTATGGAAAAGTCTCCACCACAGTCCCTTATAGGTAGGAGGGAAAAGGGTAACGTGGTAAAAACCTTAAAGAATAAACATATCCAATAACTAATGGACAAGGCAGTTACAGTACTTACAGTTGGAGAAGTCAAGAGAGCTTCATGGTAGAGAAATCATTTGAACAGGGCTTAAAGATACCCAGCAGATGGATAATGGAAAGAGGGTATTTCAGGAAAAAGCAGTGAATGGCTGAGGCATTGAAGAGGGAAGGTACATGCATATTTAGGACAAAGTGATTGGTTTTATTTATTTGGAAACTAAAGTTAATATAAGGGATTAGTGGAGGTGTAAGGGTAAAACATGGCATTTTGGTCCTTTCCCAAAGAGTCTTAAAAATCACGGGGCCCAGAGTTCACCTTTCTTTGGTGAAGAATAGTATTCTGAAGAATACTAGATCATTTTAGAGCAAGAGAATACCATGTTAAGAGTAGTAGTTTGTGTATGTAGTAGGAAACTGGAAGCCAGAAAACAGATGTCTTAAGCATCATGATTTGGGGATCTAATGGTAGAGAAAGAGGATATGAAGAGAGACATGGAAAGATCTGATGTTTTATTTAAGCTGGTTATAAAGAAGAGAGATTCACTCAGGTTAACTTTGTGCTCTGAAGAAAGATAAGCATGCTTATTACTGAGAAAAAGGAACTGTCTGAATAGAAACTTTCACCTGACTACCATTTTTCCTCCCTGTGGCACAGTTATGTGGGAAGTTCAGTATGAAACAGTTGTTGGGTGAGCATGGCTGCAGAACAGAAGGCTTTAGTTGCTCAAGTGGAAAGTTTGCAGCAGTGCCAAAAGTCTGGGCTTTTTCTCTGTAGTAGAGAGATGCTTGTCAGGGAGTTAGATACCCAAATTTATTTCAGAAAGTAGTCCCATGGTGATTGGGAGGATTCAGTCCATCCCTAAAGAACTCATCAGCAGAATTTCTTGATTCTTCTCTTTGAAACTCCACTATTAATGTGGCCTTATCTCCGTCTTAAGGCTGGGCTTCACCTCATGCTTGCCCGGCACCTAATTGTCTCCAGAATTCCCAAGAGAATCTGACCAAACCAGCTACTCTTGGAGATCAATTTTCTATCTGAGCTGGTGCCCATTCTTGGTCTAGTTTAGCTGATGCCTGAGTATAATCCTGCTATGTGAGTAGGGGACAGTTCTACTTAGGTGGGATTCTCAGCTGACATGTGCCATGATTAGCATTTCTGTGTAATCTGAGAGCTTCCTATATCCAGATGCTAGACCTTGGTGTTTTGAGATCAAATGGTCTCGTGTAATAAACATGACAGTAGGGCTGGGGATTTAGCTCAGTGGTGCCTTTGCCTGCCTCACAAGGGCAAGGTCCCGAGTTTGATCCCCAGTACCAAAAATAAACAAATAAACATGACAAGCAGTGTAAAGGAGTCAGGAGTTTTAAGAATCAGACAGTGGGGGCTGGGGATTTAGCTCAGTGATTCCGCCACCTGCCTCGCAAGTGCAAGGACCCGAGTTCGATCCCCAGTACCAAAAAAAAATCATAGAAGTTTGAGCTGCATTCTAGTCTTGGTTCTTTCAGCTACTAGCTAAATGATCTATGGAACATGCTGAACTTCTAAACCTCTGTCTTCATTTCTAACTTGTGTAGGGGTACCTACTTCTAGGTAGTGTTGAGATGTTTAAGAGCTACTATCTCTGTCAGAAGGCTGTGATATAATACAGCTGAAAGATGGCATTTGTCTGGACTAGGGTGGAAGAAAAGAGAATGGAAAAAAATGATGCAATATGAAGGAAAGGAAGAAGCAAGGACAAGCCGCACGTTTCTGAATTGGAGAATTTGGTGGTTGAAAGTGATATATGGAGCATAAGACTGAAAATGTGTGGCAGGAAAAAAGCAACATGCTGATGAAGATGACAGATTTGAGGGCCAAGGATTTAGCTCAGTGGTTCCGGTGCCTGCCTGCCAAGCACAAGGACCCAAGTTCAATCCCTGGTACCAAAAAAAAAAAAAAAGATGACAGATTTGAGTTTTATGGGATGTCTGGGTAGAAGTGTCTGGAGGGCAGAGAGCTTGTACAGTCTAATACATAAGTTAAAGAACAGAGCTGAATAAAATCATCCAGCAGTCATCAGCTTTTAGATTAGCATTGATGTCATGGGAAATGTCAGGGTTTCCAAGGGACATGTTGAGACTGAGAAGAGAATAAACTAGGTCATCTCTATTGCTGGAATGTTGGAAAAGGAAGCCACAAAGATATATGATAAAAAGGGACAAAAAAGCCAGAGTCAGTGGCCCCTCAAGAACTAATTGTTTAGAAAGGAGCTTGTGGTTAGTGCCATCAGCTGACTGAGAGTTCATTTAAAATATGGACACTTAACATGGATTTAACCAGCATGAAATGGCCTCTGCAGGAGTCTTTCAGACAAAAGCCAGCTGGAATGGGTTCAGTAGCAATTGGGAGGTGAAGAAAGAGAGAATCTGAGCAGCGAAAATCTTTGAAGAATTCAAGTTGCAGGGTGGATGGAGTGCATGAGGCAGTAGCTAGAGGATTATGGGTAAGAGGACCAAGGGAAGATTTTGTTTTTTGTTTGTTGGAATTTCAAGGTAGAAAAATTTGAGCATGTCTCACTACTTAAGGAGAATAAAGCCAAGCAAGAATAGAAACAAAAGTAAAGTGATGATAGTCCAAGATCCCAAGAAGCAAAAGGTGATGAGATCCAGAGCACAGCCAGAATGGGCACCTTTTTTCTTGCAGCAGAAGAATGGAAGCAGAAAGTTTAGGGAATTCCATCAGGGCTTCACTTGCTCTTTTTCGAGGAGTTAGAATTATGTGCTGACAGTAGTGGGGGAAGTGACAAGGTCCAAGATATGAGGAGAGTAGAGACTTGATAGACTTCTTGTGGAGAACAGACTTTGGAAACAAAAGAATCCCAGATAGCAGTAATTATCTAGTTGAGATTGGAGGCCATGAATTTATAGTGGCAGTATTATCAAGGAATTGAGAGGCCATTGTGTCCTGTGTGTTGTCCTTGTGGATGTCAGTGTTGCTGAGAAGAAGGCAAGTACCTGAGTTGGACTGCTGGATGGTAACCCCGGCTTGAGCGTCGGGTGAATGAAGGAGCCTGACTGGGACTAGATGGCAGCGAGGAAGAGGTGTTTACACATAAATGACATGGGCTTAGGGAAGTAGTTTTTGCAAGGGTCTCCAGATGGCACTGGGATATGGGAGAATCAGTAGAGTCTCCTTTTGAGGTGATGGCTGAAGAAGTAGGCCTCTCAGGAAAGAGCCAGGTTGCTGTTGAGATGAGAATAAAGGCAATACTCCCTGATATGGTTCAGAAGTGAGCTGTCCTTGGAAATACCATTTGGCACGAGAGGAAATTCAGGGTATACTTTTGGGGTCCACACATATTTAAGGAATGAGGAAAAGAATAAGGATGGATTACAATGGTCAAGAAAGAAACTTCTCAGGGCCAGGGATTTATCTCAGTGGTTCCGCCGCCTGCCTCACAAGCACAAGGACCTGAGTTCAATCCCTGGTACCAAAAAAATAAAAAAATTTTTAAAAAATGAAGAAAGAAACTTCTGAATTGCTGCCTATACTATATTAGCTATTGTCTGAGGGCAACTTCACAGTTCTCTTAAGTTAGCACTTACTGACTAGTTATTTGGAGATTTTTTTCTCTTATTTTTGAGTTTTATTTGACATTGCTTCCAGAGGATGGTATTAATGCATCACAAAATCAAATTACAACTTCCCCCCAAAAAAAGAATGTTTTCTGAATTTAAAATTCTAGTAATAGCATATATAGTTATGTAAAATTAAACACGTTTTTTGCTTGAAATTTGTTTTGGTTTTTTTGTTACCAAGGATTGAACTCAGGACCTTGCGCTTATGAGGCAAGTGGTGGAACCACTGAGCTAAATCTCCGGCCCTTTGAAATGTATTTTAGAGGCTACAGTATTTCTTTAGACAAATGTGAAATTGTGTAAAATTTTGAACAGCAAAGTAAGAATCCAGTCAATATTGATCACTTAGTATTGATCATTCTATTTTCTTTTTGATGCATAGGCATGTAAAGTTGAAGATCTGGGCAAAGTGGATTTTGAAGATGAAATTAAGAAAAGATTTAAAATGGTGTATGTGCCAAATTGGTTCTCAGTAGACTTAAAAACAGGGGTAAGTTGGCAGTTGATCCATGTATAATTTGAGATTGTTGAAGATTTCAAGCATATTAGTTCATAATTATTCTTAATTACAAAGTTCTCTGTTTTTAAATGTGAGAGAAAAAAATTTCATGTTAATATTTACAGACTGCAGTTTAAATATCTTTGGTATCTCAGTAAACTACATTATGGTTGGGTTGGTTCACATGAAACACATCAGTTGGTTCCTAAATCTATAGCTTAGCATTTTAGTCAAATAGTATAAGTAAATAAAGGTTTAGGGACTTATTTGGAAAATGCATTCAAAATGGAATGCCACTGATGGTTTTCTCTTTTGGAAGATGTTGACGATTACTCTGGATGAGAGTGACTGCTTTGCTGCTTGGGTTTCTGCAAAAGATGCTGGCTTCAGCAGCCCTGACGGGTCAGATCCAAAATGTGAGCTCTGTGTCTTTCCATCACTTCCTCCTTCCACAAGAGAGGGTGGATATTTGCTGTTTGGTGCTATGTAATCATCTTTGTCAGGGTACCTTAAATTCAGTCACTTATATCAGTGTGCACACTTTGATCAGTGTGCTAAGGATGTAGTATTGAATATACAAACAATTATCTGGTTTGTACAGATACAATTATAATGGAAGTAACCCTTTAAGAATATGAGTCCTGGTTCAGTTTGTTTGTAAAGAATGGCTCTTCTGGACAGCCGTGTAGAATATGTTTGCCTTCTCTCATCATTACTTTAAACATTTTAAGATAAAACTAAAAGTCTTGGCAAAATCTCTTTAAGTCTTGATTTTAAATACTAGCATTAGATTAAGATTTTAGCATCAGAATATGTGAAAACTTTCAATTTTTATTTTATTACAACTAATTAACTTTGTTTTCCATTGTTTTTCTTTTTAACTAACTTTTTTGCAGTGAATTTAGGAGGACTTTTACTCCAGGCACTCTTAGAATATTGGCCTAGAACACACGCAAGTCCAGTGGATGAAGAAGAAAATGAAGTAAACCATGGTTAGTGTTTTTAATTCACTAGATTATTGGCAAGAATTACTCGGAGCCAAAAGGCCATTTGCTAAAATGTGATGTAGTGAATATTTGTGATGTGCCCAATTAATTTTCTTCCCTTCAGCATGTCAAAGTATCTAGTCTTTTTTGGTGTGGGTTTTTTTTGTTCGTTTGTTTGTTTGTTTGGGGGGGGGGTGGTGTGGAGAATTGAGCTCAGGACCTTGTGCTTGCCAGGCAGGCATGGCGCCACTGAGCTACATCCCCAGCCCAAAGTATCTAGTCCTAACTGACACTGAGGTTCCCAAAAGAGCAGATTACTATGCAGCGTGTTTCTCAGTAAGTGAAACTGCTCAAGATAGATAAAATAAACTGTGTGACCTTTGCCTTAAAACTAGGCACCTTAGGAGGCCTTATTCTAAAAATATTTCTCAATGTTTCTGTGACCTGGATTTACTTTGCAAACTAGCTAATTAGCTACACCAGAAAGTCAGGTTGTTAGTCATAGTTCCATAGTCATAGAACCATAGTCACAGTTCACATTGGCCTGAAATGCGGTATTACCTGGTCTGACAGTCTACCTGATTTTGACTCTGAGTGCTGCAAAAACTCCATTTCCAACTCAGAAGTGGCAGGGTAAATGAGTGAGTATATGTAAACAATGTCATTAAGGATATTAAAAAGGTGTATGTGCCACAGACAGTGGTGATAACTTCCCTTGAGCAGCAGAGAAGATATTTTGAAAGTATGCATTTGGCTCAGCTTGACCAAAGGAAGGGAAAAAGAACTTAATTTCACAGCTCATGTGTAACCTGCAGCTGGTTGAGGGGTCATTGAATCCCACCTGCTGAGGCTTACTCTGCTGAGGATTCTCTGCTGACCACTAGGAATGAGCAACAGTGGTGAGTGCTTCCTGCCAGGGACTTCTTTCTGGCTGACAGATTCATCCACAATGATTTCAATTTAAATTTCTCTCACAGTGATGACAGGCTTCATGCTTCCCTGAAAACCAGTCTGCTGGTGTCCCTTTTAAAGAGAATGGACTGGGAACCAAAGAAACCACAGGAAAGATGTCTCTACAGAGAGCTGAAAAAGCTAGGTTCTGGTGTGACCTCTGCACTTAACCAGCTCTGTAGCTGTGGATAGGTTACTTCCACTTAGATAGGAAGTTCTCAAAGGCCCAAATAAACAATAAGGATTAAGTAGTCAGAAAACTGCACCCCTTAGATTCGGGCTGTGGGTTGGAGTAAGGAAGAAATCGCCAAAAACCTCACATCATCCTTAAAGTCAAGCTGCCATGGTAAAGCAAGGCTGGATCTGCCCACCACCTCCTCCAGAGCTCGGGGCACTGCCTGCTCCGCCTGTCTGGTAATCTCCTGCCATGCCTGCTCCATGCTCAGGGGCTGCTCCAGAACTGTTTAGATCATGCTTTGTGAGCAGTTATTCAGTCCTCAGAGCCCTTTGGCAAGATGCAGGGGGCTTAATAAAGATAAATGGGTATCAGGGGCCAGGGATTTAGGTCAGTGGTTTCGCTGCCTGCTGCGCAAGCACAAGGACTCGAGTTCAATTCCCGGTACCAAAAAAAAAAAGATAAATGGGTATGGGCTCTGTCCTTTAGGGGCTCATGGTCTGCTAGAGCGGAGAGCTACTTACATAAGCATTCTGAGGTTGGAGAGAAACAGTGGGTGCTGTGAGAGAGGCTCCAAGAGTGCTATAGCATCTCAGAGGGTAACACTGCTTTTGCTTTGTTCAGCTGGCACGTGGGGCCAGCTGCCCTCGGCTCAAAAGACTACAAAGAAAGCAGAGTGGGAATGGAATCTGTAAATAACAATAGAAGTGAAATTATGTCCTCTTTGAGGATTTTATATTTCACTAATACTTATGTTTTATTAGCTATGGCTGCCATTGAACATAATTTTCCTGAAAAAATTTTTTGGAGGGAAGGAGGAAGGGGTGAGAAGGGAGAGAGAGAGAAATCACTTATAAATAGGTGTCCTATATGTTTTTGTGGCTAAAATAGCTAGTTATATTTTTGTTGTGAATATCAAACATTTATCTCCTTTATTTCAAAATACAGTAATTTCTCATGAAGTACAACATAAGTTGCCATGTTTCTCATTTTTAGGCATTTAACTTTTGCTTTTTGCCTTTGCAAATTCTGGCTGACTTATAGGACTTTTTTTTGAGACATGGTCCCACTATGTAATTCAGGCTGTACTGGAACTCACTGTGTAGCCCAGACTCGCCTTGAACTCATGGTGATCCTTCTGCCTTAGCCTCCCAAATGCTGAGATTACAGCCATGTGCCACCACACCCAGCTTTCTAGGACTTTTGACTTTTAAAATCTTGTAATGTTTGAAGTTTGTGAAAATTAAATGTTTGGAATTTGTGTTTTTAGCACTAGCCTGGATACTAACACCACATGCATCTTTTCCTAGTAAATGGGGAACAGGAGAACCGATTACAGAAGGGAAATGGATATTTTCAAGTGCCTCCACACACACCTGTGATCTTTGGTGAAGCGGGAGGTCGCACACTGTTCAGGTAGGGTAAGAAGGACTACAGGCCCTGCCTGAGGGAACTCCCATTTGCTAAAAAGGTTGGCTCAAACAGACATTAGAAGTTGTTTATTACCAGCTTGATAGGAATGTCAGGGAAACCACAGTCTGGCTGAAAAGAAGCGGTTCTGGTGTTAGAATGAGGCAGACACCATCATTCTGACAGTGAGGCAGCTTTTCTGGTGGTTTCTCCCAGGAAACTCTTACTTCCTTTCACTTCAGTAGTGTAACTGCCAGGGTCAGGGAACAGATGGCATCACCAGAAAGCCCTGCCCACAGAAGAGCATCAGAGTATGTGATGTACCTCAGACTGAACCAGGCAAGATGAGTTGGGCTACTCTCAGGAACTGTTATGGCTGACATGGGCCCAACCTGGGAAGCCAAGCAGTCTTTTATGGGACCGTTGAAGGGAAATGCTGGTCTGGCTCACTCCAGGTTGCCGAAGTACTGTGGTGGAGCCAACGGGGAGAGCTCACTAATCTCTCATTGATGCAAGGCATAAGGAAAATGTGTGGCCTTGCCCTTGAAAGTCCTTTACCTTGAAGATGGTCTCCTAAAAGTTGTCACCAGAAACATCAAAACATCCTGAATGCCACTGCATGCAGAGGCCTGTGCCACACACAGTTGCACTATCAGGGAACCTTTCTAGAATGTTTTGCTTATGCCCATCTTTCCTCTTTTGACCCAGGGACTCAAGCCGCGGTAGTGGATGTCTGGCCTCAAAGTCTGAGGGCCTGAGTATTGGGGCCTTCGTTGCCGTTTAGGTGTTAGTGACTCTGCCTTGCTGGACTTCCTCAGCGGTCTTTGAGGTTTCTCTCTTGAGTGCTTGTGGACAGTGATTTTGTCATCTGTGCTCCATGTTTCACTCACTCCCTGATGAATTTTGTTTAGGCTGCTCTGCCGAGATTCCGGGGGTGAGACTGAGTCGATGCTTCTTAATGAGACAGTGCCACAATGGGTGATTGACATCACTGTGGATGTAAGTGTCCTTTGCTCTCACTTTACCCTTTCATTTTTTCCACATGAAATTAAGAATTGCTTTAGATGGTATAATCTTAAACTTGAGTAAAAACTAGACTGCCAAGTGAAGTCTCTGTCTCCTTCCCTACAGTTCCAGAGTTGAAGTATTGATAATTATTTGTATATGTATTTCTTAATAAAGTAATGAATGAAGTGAAACGCTACAGTCACTCTTACTCCCTGTCCTTCCTCTCAGAGATAACAACTATTAATAGGTTAATCCATGGCCTTTTGTACTTTTTTCTTTGCATACTTAGCATATTTTATTTATGTGCACATGTATATACTTCATTTTATTTTGCAAAGAATCTCTTTTACATACTGTTCTGCAACAGTTTGACTACATAATATCCCATTGTATAACTGTACCATAATTTAATCAGTCCCCTATTAAAAAACATTTGGGTTGTTTCCAGTGTTTTCTATTACAAACAGTGCTGCAGTGACCATCCTTGTACATATATCTTTGTAGAGTTTTTAGCATAAGTTCCTAGAAGTGGAATTGCTGGATCAAAGGGTGCACACATTTTGAATTTTGACAGATACTGCCAAATTGCCCTGCACAAAGGTCGTACCAGTTCACACTCTCACCAGTAGTATCTGAGTGCCTTTTTCCCCACACCCATACCAGTGCCAGATACTTTGAATCTTTGTTATAAGATAAGCAAATTTTATCTCATTGTTTTAATATGGATTTTTAAAAGATCATAGGTTAAGCATCTTTTCATATTGGCCGTTGTATTTCTTCTGTGAATTGTTTGTCTCTGCTACTGATTTGTAGTTCTTTATGTTGAATACTAACCCTTTGACTATTCTTTGTGCCTCTCAAACTTTTACAGTGTTGTGTTCGTGATGTCTTTTGCCAAATGAAGTTTTAATTTTTACATAAATCAATCATTTATGGCTCAGAGTTCCATATCCTGTTTAAGTATTTACTAGCATAGCAAAAACTTTTCTATATTTTCTTTTAGTGCCTTTATGATAATTTTTGTGTGTATAGATCTTTAATATGTTAGAATTTATTCTTCTGTTTGGTGTAAAGTAAGATTCTACCTAACTTTATCCAAAAGGAGAGCCAGTGTGCCAGCACAGATTAATTGCTAGCACTTTTAGAAAATTTGCTGTCTGTCTTAGACCCCAAAAAATTGGCCAATTTGATTCCTGATGGATATTTCGTGGTCTTCACTATGTCGAGCTCCCCATAAACCACTTGGAGGGTAAAACTTGCCTGGGTTGCATTACTGAATGATTATTGAATCTGTGGCTTATTTTGGAAAAGAGACATGCAGACAAAATATGAAATGGAGACTCAGAGGGACTGATACCCTGAGAAAAGATGAGAAGATATTCAATCCTTCATTTAAGTGTGCAGTTTACATTACAGTAGACCCCCAGATTGTTGGCTGAAGTTTCCATTCTTTCTCAAACCCTCAGACCTCACTCTGGTGTCAGAGGGAAACACTCCAGGAAGGCCTTGATGGCCTCAGTTGGACGATGGGCCCCGCCAGGGTAGAGAGTGGCTTTCCTTACAGGTGAATGTTGTGGATTTTTCTCAAGACACTTAAGTTTCCATGTGGGCCTTTAGGTATCAGCCCCAATATTGGGGGAGGGGGGGGTAATTCTTTGAGATAGCTCAGAAGTTTATCATGGAGAGAGTGACCTTGGCATTTTAGTGTAGGCTGAACCAGGGCTTCTAGCCATATATTTATAATTCTGTAGCACTGGCCTCTCAAATAAATGAAGTTTATGACAGTGCCTTATCTGAAAAGCAAATATTGGTTAAATCATCATACATCAGACGTAGATCTTTATAGAAGTCCCAGTATTTTAATGCTGAGATTGTGATTTATATATCTTAAAAATTGAGTTTATTCCCTTTAATATCTTGTAGTATTATCTAAGAAGAGCCATGTTTCGATTTCATATTGCCACTAATATTACATATGATTTGTCTTTACATATCAAAACTTTAACAGCATACTTCTCTGATAAATTTTCTCTAAGGCTAACTTAATTTGATAGCTTATTATGAATTACATAGAATTACTTATAATTATTTGTAAATCATGTTTTCCTGTTGACAGCATTTTAGTTTATCAGCTAATAGAAACTATTATACCTTTTTAACTTTCAATATTTCAGAAAAATATGCCCAAATTCAACAAAATTCCTTTCTACCTCCAACCTCATGCATCTTCAGGAGCTAAAACCTTAAAAAAGTAAGTAAACGTAGTATCATGTGATTCCTTGATGTAATTAATTACTAAAGAGAATTCTTTCCTTATGGTTTGCTTTATAACACAGGAGATAAGTACTAGATCTAAGACTGATTTTATAATATTGATGGATTTTGTCTCTTGTCAAAACTCAGTTTAGGACACAACTTGTGTATCGTAACTGCTTTTAGATACTTAAGGAATGACGAGCATGAGGAAAAGGAATGAGTTTTTGAGTTTAACTTTCCTAAAAGGCTTCTTGAAGGACATGGAATTTGAGCTGGAAATGTAAGGATGGATAGAACTTCAAAAGGTAGATATTCCAGGGCCAGCTCAGTGGTTCTGACACCTGCCTCGAAAGCGCAAGGTCCTGAGTTCAATCCCCGGTACCAAAAAAAGCAGATATTCCAAGTGCAGGACCCAGTTTGATCAGGGATGCAGAAGTGGGAGTATGCTCAAGCTACTGGAAAACTGATGTGAGAACTCACGTACCTGCAGCATCAAACGGACAGGCAACAGGGAGGGATACTACAAGGTAAATTAGAAAGGAAGAGAACATCTAGACATGAAAGACATAGAACATGTAGTGATTTAATACCAGAAGTTTGTGAGACAATGGAATGTGGCCCAGAGGGAAGCTTAAAGCAGGGAGACCTAAGAAAAGAATTTTAGTAGTCTAGAGAGAGGACGCTGAACTGTGAACAGTATCCTAGCAAGTAAAATCAACAAGATTGTTAAAAACTGTTTCATTCCAGAGATTTTCAGACTTATACACAGAGAATAAAATAATGAGTACCCACTGACCCATGAGACTTCAATAACTATTAACACCTGGCTGTAAACGTTTTGCTCCATCTGTTCCCTTGCTTACCTTTCCACCCATCTCCCTCCACTTATACTTTAAAGCAAGTACTTTACATCACCTCAACTAGATTCAGGGACTAATGGCTTTCAGAGCTTATGCCTTGGCTGTTTAGTTTGACAATTAGAGGCTGATGTCAGAGGTTCAGAAGTAGGTTTGGGGAATAGATGAGTCAAGTTGGAGACATCTGACTAGAGATGCCCAGCCCAGCCATTTGGTTTGTGGTATAAAGCAGGTCAAGACTCAAGGTCTGAACTGGGGCACCCTCTCCCACCTTCTGTTAGTTGAAGGCATGGCAAAGAGGAAGAAAGCCCAGGGAAAACGGAGCCCCACAAGGGCAGACCCTGTAGGTGCTAGGCCTGCCTTCACTTCCAGGATGCTTTAGTTTGCCCATGCTTTCGGGAAGTATTTAAAGGACTAAAACCCAGGTAGGTGCTCTGTATGTATATGTAAATTTCAAGAATGGGTGCTTAATCTCATTTAGTGGCACGTGGTCTGTACCTTTGGAGGACACTAGAAAAGCCTTTCACAATTCAAAAAGTGGGTCAAGGCAATGACTAAAAACATTTATAATGTTTCTGTATTGTGTTTTATAAGTTAACACCAAAGGAAAAAAATATGGAAGAGATGATAGCTAGTGATTCTTCCTGATGCCACAATGTGCCTATTCCCTTTTACAGGGATAGACTTTCTGCTAGTGACATGCTCCAGGTCAGAAAAGTAATGGAACATGTTTATGAGAAAATTATCAACTTAGATAATGAATCTCAAACCACTAGCTCTTCTAATAATGAAAAACCAGGAGAACAGGAAAAAGAAGAGGATATTGCTGTGTTGGCAGAAGAAAAAATTGAACTTTTGTGCCAGGACCAGGTGAGTAAACTTAAGAACCATACCCTCATTTTTTTTCCCAGTGCTGGTGCTCAGGAAGTTACATTATATGATTATAGATTCCAAATCTGTTAGTTTGGGGTAGCTTCTGCTTCCACCTATCTCTGCAGCCCTTCAAAAGAGTTTCACCTACCTTCAAGCTCCTGTTCACCTGGAGTTTTCAGGAAAGGGAACCAGTGGTTAAAAGACATAGAAAATTTCATGTGAATGGAGTACAGGTGGGTGGAGAAATGGAGAGACTGTCTTAAATCAGAAAGACCCTTCAAGGGAAGGGCTGAAAGACAGCCTGGTATTTCTGGCACTGCCACAGACGCTGCACACCTCACTCGTACCTAGTTTCATGCCTGCATCGTGGAAGCTGTGCCAGCAAGAGCAGACTTACCAGGCATGAGGGAGGTATAAAAAAGCTAGATCATCTAGTGGAGTTCCTCAGTAAAGAATGAAGATTTTAGATATCAGAGACTTTTGAAAATGTTAATGTAATTTTGCTTTTTAGGTTTTGGATCCAAATATGGACCTTCGAACAGTGAAACACTTCATATGGAAGAGTGGTGGTGACCTCACCCTCCATTACCGCCAGAAGTCCACGTGAAGGGTGGGCCAGTGCTCCTGGGTATTCATTTACTACCTTCCTCTGTGGCCCCAAGAGTAGTCCTAGGAAGCCCACTGAGCCCAACGGGAGCAAGACTTCTAACGACCGGTTTGGTATGGACTGAGATTCTCTTTCAGTTGAAGTGACTAATCGAGATGTAATATAGAAACCAGTCTCCAAGTGTAGATTGAGCTGCCCAGGGGAAGCAGAGTGTGAAGGCAGAAGAGCCCCAGGCACACTCTGTCCTGCAGCTGTACAGAGAATTGACAGCAGGGCAGTGCAGACTTCCACTTCTTCCTCTCCTTTCAAAAGACCTTATCTGTGTCTGTTAGCACTTGTTAGAGAACATGGTTGACCACACCTGTCACTGTGTTTCAACTTCAAACCCACAGCTCTGTAGCTTTTCTAAAAGTACATTCCATTCACGCAGTACTTATGAAGGCTTTTTCCAAGTTTGTCACAAAAAAAGTCAAATTGTTTTCACCATTTAAGGTAATTATTTTTAATGGTAATTTGCTGTTGGACAATTTGAGAGCCAGCCCATTTCATAATAAATGATTACCGTTGGGCTTGTTTTTAATATTGCATCTCAGATACATCCTTTAGGAAGCTCTGTGGAGATTCCAGGTGCTGGGTGACAGCACACAAGACCCTGGGCCAGAGTGTGCAGTCTGTGCTTAGTGACACCGAACCCCATGATGCCCTGGCTGTGTGCAGGTCCAGGGAGGTGCAGCCGTTTACTCTGCTCCAGTGTCATTTTATTCACAGGCAAAGCCAGCCGAGACCTATGGATGGCTTCTTGCTCTGAGTAAGCAGTGTGACACCATCAAAACTTAATAACATGATGAAAGTTTAATTTCATTCAAGTGCTACCTAAATTATATGGTGTCAGAGTAAAGGGATAGCAGTGAGTTGATTTGATATTCCTATCCAGAAAGTATAGCCATTTGTTTTTCCAGAATTTTATATGCAGGTTTTTGTTTTTACCTGTATTCAGATCTTCTTTTCACTGTTCTTTCTAACAATCTGAAGCGTTCGTAGATCACTTGGATCTTGTACAGAATATAACTTATTGGGGATAAACACTTCAACTTTTGGCAGAAAATACTTTGGATTCTTCCCAAGGTCATTTGTATTCAGAATAGAACAATGGTCCACCCCCATAAAACTACAGAAGCAAGCCTCCTTGCATGAAGCCAGAAGCACAAGTGCCTTCTGAGGGCAGTTATTCCAGACCAGTCTCCCCAGCTTGTGTGTGGCTTGTCCTCACAGCCACAGGGACTGGGGAGGGGGTGGGAATGGGGAAGGTTTTTGTTTCGTACAACTTCACAGGTTCAGTTAAGGGCAGCTGATGGGCCCAGGTCCATACTTTACAATTTGAGATCCTCTGATCAGCACAATTGCAGAGACGGTTCCCTCACTGCTGGTCAGCTAGCTTTGGAAAGTGACAGGTCATTGCCTCCTGCACCTTGAAGAAGCAAGCAAAGACATGGGCACATTTCCAAGGAGCCGAAATGGTCTTTCTTCCTTCCTCAGAGAGCTGTCAACCTCTTTTTTTAACAGTCCTTTCTATCTGTTACATACAACAGTGCGCTTTTGGTGCACATTTTTTAGCAATAGTTGTGAACTAATGGCAAAAAAAAAAGAAATACAAAAATGTCATTTAGCAGCCCCAAGCTGTGTACACGAAGGGCCTTTGAGCTAAAGGAGTGGGTAATGCTGGGTCCTCTGCCGTGTGTGCTGAGCCTTGGGTGGCTGTGTCCCTTCCTGTCATAGCTCTGACCCCAGCATGGTTGTACTTTTTCCCCTCCAGTCAAACCAATAATACAGTTTCCAGAAAATTTGATAGTCTGCAATGCCAAAAGGGTAAAAATCTGTATTTCAGTTGTATAGAATAAAGAATTTAGTTAAAATATTTCAAAGTGTAGTACACTTTTTTTCACTTGCCATTTTCCTCCATAGTAGATCACAGAAAAACCTCTGGTTTCATGTTCACCCTGGGAATAATTAGCACAGGTACCCTTATAAGGGGGAAGTAAAAGTAATGAGAGGAAGAACCAGACCTGCCAGTGAGGGTTAGCAGGAGGCCAGACTGCCAGGCTACAGGACTCAGGAAAGCTGGCCCCAGCACAGCCCTGTGGGATCCGCTCTGCTTCCTGCATTCCTGCATACCAGCACTGGGCTCCTAGACAATTCAGGACACAACCCCTCGCTGTTCTGCAGCTGCTAGGGTAGGCTTGACAAGGGCTGGCTTTAAAAGTAGTTAGTTCTTGAAACTTTGTGTTTGCTAATTTGGGGCCTTGGGCACTCAAGTTTGATCTGTGCCTCCCAGAGCAGAGTCCTTGTCCTGCAGGGGAGCCTGTGCGTTCCCTGTATGTGCATATATTACAAATGGTGCTATAACAGCAACACTTTCCCCTAGGCGGATGCTGGAATACAAGGCAAGGAGCAGCTTTCCTGGTAACTAGAAAGAGGGAAGATAATGATGGGAGGTGAGGGACTCCATTTGAGCAGCAGAGGACTTTGGTCGATGAGGGGCCATCCAAAGGCACTTGGGGGTTGGGGAACAGCTTCCTTCATACTACAGAAAAGAACAGCAGGACCCTTGCCCACACTTGTCTGGGCCCCTGATTTGCTCCTGGGGTTGAGGCTCTGTGAAGAAGCCTAGTCAGGTGGTGGGCTACCTTGACAGTTTACTTAGGATGGTGAACTGAAATCTCTAACTTTTCTTCACCGTTATGGTTGGCTGGGTGCCGTGTATATTGAGAGGCGATTGTTTATGTTTGAGAGCTGTGATGGTTGACTGTGTCAACTTGAATAAGAGAAACTCAACTAAATTGGCTTGGCATGTCCACACCCTAGTGTGTGGAAGACCCACCCTAGTGTGATTTGTGGCCTAGGTGGTATAAAGGGGAAATGAAGGAAGATCTGCTTTTGTTTCTTCGAGGAGCTCCAGTCTTCACCTTCACCTTGGACATCATCTCCTGGCTTCCAGCACAGACTCCAACTTCCGGCACAGACCCATCAGCCTTCTGATGGGGAGTTGTGAGCTCCAGACCTTCAACTGGATACTTCAGTCTCCAGTGTGCAGACAGATCCTCTGCACTCTTCCACATCCAACTGTGTGGGTGGCCACTGTAACCCAATCTTGAAATTCTTATATATATTTATATATCTCCTGTTACATCTGTTTCTGTTATAAACATTGACTGATACAGGAGTCACCACTGGGGACACTAGATGAGTGCTTGTAGGCTGGAGGAAGAGATAGTCAGTGCTACTCTGCTGAAGGCCAGAGGTGGGCAAATGCAGCCTCTCTTTGGTGCTGACTGGCATGAGCCAGCATGAGCCAACCTGAGCCAGCAGCCACACTGTACCATAAGGACAAAGTCATTGATGGAGTCAGTGATTGGGACCGGGGGTGTGGGGGGGGGTTCCTAGAGCTTGGGGACCCTTCCAGTACAGATGGGACTGCGAGCTGTACAGGAAGGGTAAAGGCCAGCCTTACAAAGTGATGTGGCCAACACTTGATACTAGCCCCTTCCTCACTCCATCTTCACACTGATCATGACTGGACCTGCTGCCTCCTGGGGAGCCTCAGTGACAGGACAGGCACTGGTTCTGAAGGGGTGTGACCTCCTGTTTCTACTCTCAGAGGCTGCATATGCCTCTCCTATCCCAACTCTTGCAAAATATTGAAGCTGGGTGCTGCTCCCAGCCCTGCACCACCAAAGTCCTCTTTGAAACCCTCCAGCCCAGGACCACCAGGCAGGACAAACACTGTTAAGGTAGACACTAGAGCCCCTGCCAGCAGGAATCTTTGCATGTCACATGGAGCTGCAGGACACAGGGCTGGGATCAGGCACAGAGCTGGTGAAATTACTTCAGAAGCCTTGTCACAGCCCAGAGTATAATTCTGGGGTAGAGATCTCGGCCTGGCTGGCCGGCCCCTCAGCCGCTGCCGTGACATCTGAGCTCTCCAGGCTCGTAGGCTCCTCCTCAGTCTGAGCTTCTAGCAGTTCTGCAGACAGCCCGTCTTCTGGCGAGGCTGCAGAGTTGAGGCTGTCGGGAAGAGTCAGCTGAGGCAGGTGGTCTGGCTGGACATGGGCTCCAGGGCTATCCAGGAAAGACACCTCAAACTCTGAGCCAGACCATGTGGCTTCACCTGAAACATAAAGGTAGGGCTAAGGAAGTGTGCAAAATCTAAGCTGACCCTGCCCACTGCCATTCAGGTTCTGATGGGACAACAAGTGTATGAACTCCTTGATAAGGCCAAGCTCTGGCCCAGCTGAACAATTAGTACAGCCTTCTCAGCAGCCCAGGGTCCCTCCCAGAAGGTGCTGGTCACTCACCACCCCGCTCGTGAGAACTGCTGCTGGAGCCGACATCCTCTGGCCCTGAGGCTGAGACTGCTGTAGAAGAGGGCAGGCTGGGCCACACACTGGCATTGCCACTGTCCAAGAGGGAAATGCCCGACACATCTAGGAAGCCTGGGGCAGCACAAAACCCTGACTGTTGGAAAGGCAGGATAGGGCATTCACCCAGCCTGGTGCCCAGGGCATCTACCTGGCCAGACTGCAAGACTAATATCCCTAGTCTCTGGTGATGCCCTCCCGTAATGTTATGATTTGTCCCTCCATGTCCCCCCAAAACCTCACGTGGTCATAGGCTTTTGCAGAGGTGGCTGGATCTAGTGTGTGAAGCTGAAATTGATTCATAATGCAATGTTAGGCCCAAGGGCACTCAGATTAAGGGTGTGAGTGCTACCTGCCCTAAGTAGTCTGAATAAGATAAAAGGGGCAAAGAGACCTGTGAAGTTCACTTGCTTGCTTTTGCTGTCTTCTGCCACCATGAACTGTTGCCCCTCTCTGACCCTGCCTTTGAGCTAGCTGATTATGAACTGGAACCTCTAGGAACTGTAAGCCAAATATACTTTTCCCCTTTAACTTTGGGTGACATTTTTGTCAGAGCAACATGAGAAAACTAAGACAACTCCCCCAACCCGAAGGAGATTGCCACTACTGTTTCTGCAGAAAGAGACCTAAAGTTAGTCATCATGGGGCAGCACAGTGGCAGTGGGCCCAGAGCCTGCTTTGTCTCCAGTTTGCTGTGTGACCTGAAGTAGGCCACCTCTCTTCTCTGAACTCCAAATTCTCCATCTATACCCAGGAATGATGATCTGTCTTTTTTTTCTTTTCTTTTTGTTTTTTTTGAGACAGGGTCTCGCTATGTAATGCGGGCTGGCCTTAAACTCACTATGTGGCACAGGGTAATCTTGAATTCACAGCAGTACTCCTGCTTCAGTTTCCCTAGTGCTGGGATTACCAGTGTTCACCACCTGTAATGTCTTGCTGTATGTGAGATCTGAAGAGTCAGCAGGCCCAGGGAAAATTCTGGCACTGCTGCCAAAGTACAGTTCTGAGCCTGGGGCCCACTTCAGCACCAAGAGCTGGGGGTTCCTCAGCTGCGTCTCCAGGGCCTGCCCAGTACCTGGGTCCATGACTCGCTGCACTGGAGGTGGAGGCTGAAGAGGAATCTCCGGAAGTCCCCCAAAGTCTGGAGCGCTGTGGCCAGAACTCTCAGCCCCGGGGAGCTGTTCCTCCATGAAGGAACCAGGTACCTGTAGTAGGGCCTGGCGGCACCAGGACAAAAAGAATGGAGAAGGGCTGATCCGGACAGTGCCTTGAGCAGTCACAGTCCAACCTACACAATACCCACCACTGCCTTGAGCACTGCTCTGCCTGCAGGAAGGAAATGGTCATAGTACCCCACCCCTTCTTCCACAAGAGACCTGCAGTCCAACCTGAGAGGCCTAGCCTCCCCTACGGTGTTCCCAGAGGGAGCACTTCGCAGACATGCTGAGGAGCCCACCTGGCCCCAACACACGGCTGCTGCCTGGGACCCATCAGCAACCCACGAGAAGGGAGAGCCTTCCTTGAAGAGAACATCCCAGTGTGCCCTGGCACCAATGCCAGTGTCCAGAAGTGTTCTCAGGACCCACTCATCAGCCGTGAAGGCAGGGATGGAATGCCCCGCAGCCCGGGCCCACCCAACATCAAACATAACAGGCATTCCAGCATGCTAACCTGGGCCAGCTTTTCTAAAGCCTCAGTGAGACGCAGAGGAAGGCTCTGCCCAGCTTTAAGTCTCAGCTCCCCACTCATGAAGTGAAGACAACCACTGGTGCCTCACCGCCACCTGCATCTCTAGAGCAAGGAGCAGGAGGACCAATAGTGGCTTTTCCTGGCCCAGGCAGGACCCTGTTCCTTCTGTGTCCCAGAAGCAGATGGGCCCCTGGTGAGGTTGCTGGGATGCCCCAGGGCAGCCTTGAGTCTCCCGAGCTGGCAGGCCCCTGTGACCATGTGAGGCTCTCCCTTCCTCTGGCCAACAGGCACCCCTACATACCTCCATGTAGTCACTCTGCCTGGAACCCATCTCCTGGCCAGGAGAGTCCTGGGGAGTGGGCACAGGTGATGGGACATCAGGTAGAGAGGCACCAGGTGGCAGGGCATCAGGCGGTGGGGCACCAGGTGGCTTCTTGTGGTAACTGGAGGGCTGCGTTGGGATCCGATGTAGATACCCATAGCCAATACCACAGCCCAGACTGCCAAAGCCAGAAACATTCACTCCAGGGTGTTGGCCACGGCCACAGCCCTAGCCCTCCCTGCCTTTACCACCCTCATGCTGGACCAGCAGTAAAGGGCTGAAAGGGCACTGCTAGACCTGTCAGCCTCAGGCTTTCTGGGCTCCAGGCCTAGGGCCCAGCCCTCTAACTCAACCAGTGGACTCTGGAGGTCCATACCCACTGACTGGACAGGCCCTACTCACCTAGCCCTGCAGCCCACCAACCCTGGGAAGTACCTGCCCTCTCCACCCCAGGCTGCGTTGGGAGTTACTGTCACCTCCCGGCAGGAGTCAGACTCGGAGTTATAAACCATCAGCTTCAAGGGCTTCCCCTCGTGAGACTCGATGAGCGAAAAGAAGTCTTCAGACTATGAGAAACACAAAGGACCTGAGACTGCTTCCAGCACCAGATGGAAGCCTCAAAATAAGACACTTCCCAGTGAAGGCACCAATCTCTCCACACTTCACCCCATGGGGCCTGGACAGGGACAAGCCACGGGTTCCTCACCTCCTGGAGGATCTGGTCTGAGCCCACCACATAGTCTGTGTAGGGGCACAGGCCAGCCAGGGCAGCTGGTGAAGATGGTTCCACATCCTGGGAAAGAATTGCAAACCATAAGCTTCATTACTGTGCAGTGAGTAGGATATCTGTCTGCTATCCTTAACCAGGGCTTCAAGCTCTTTCACCTCATCCCCAGGTCTACAGATGCCCAGCAGAGGGCAGCACCATGTTTTGGAATGAACCCTGGGCTCAACTCCTGGCTCCACCACCTGCTGGCTGTGTGACTGAATAAATTAAAGTACTGAAGCTCTCTCAGCCTGTTTCCCTACAATTAAAACTAGGTTTCATAGGGTCACTAAGATTTAAAAAATACACGTTAAAAGAAAAGAGAAGGGCTGGGGATTTAGCTCAGTGGTTCCACTGCCTGCCTCGCAAACGCAAGGTCCCAAGTTCTATCCCCGGTACCAAAAAGAAAGAAAAGAGAAACCAGACGTTGGCTACAGTAACTGCCCAGCTGCATTGGTGCTCCTGCTGAGGCATATGGCTAAAGACTGCTGGGTGACAGTCAAAGCAAGAGCAATCAGCAAAATTGGAGGTGAGGACTGCTTTCTCCCTTGGAAAGGTTTGCTGCTCTCCATCTCCTGGTCTCCCTGGGAAATGCAAAGAAATCTGCATCATTAGCCCATGTCACTCAGGCAAGCTTTTGTAGGCTGGCTACAAAGGCTGGGAGACTTTGCCAGGCTCCCCAGGAAGCCAGGGATCTAGGATAGAAAGCAGCTAGCTTCTGGCACTGGGTACCCTCCTTCCATCAAGCCACGAGACCAAACATCACAGATGCACAGGTGTCAGGTGCATCTGTGACAGCTCAGCCACTTGAGTTTCATTATGTATCAGTTATATAACAATATAAACTAGGGCCGGGGATTTAGCTCAGTGGTTTCGCTGCCTGCTGCGCAAGCGGAAGGATCTGAGTCGATGCCCGGCACCAAAACAAAAAACAAAAAAAAAATATAAACTATAAAGATATGTAGATATACACCAATATCTATCTATCTTCTGAGACACAGATAGACAGAGGCAGCATTCTGGCAGTACAGCCACCATTCCAGTAAACAGTACCCCACCTTTCAAAATAAGAAACCAAGGTCTAGGGCAGTGGAGGTGAACCTACGGCACACATGCCCCAGTGGGCTGTTTGTATCACTGAAAGCTCTAAAAGGTCTGTCATCACTGATCCTAGAAGGTAAAAAAATGCCCAAAGTCACATGGCTACCAAGAAGCAGAGCACACTGTCCAGGGACTTAATAGCTGCCCTCTCAGGACATGGGGGCATCCTCCAATAAACCAGAAATGCCAGCCTCTGCCACACACCCCACCCATCCCATCCTAGCTGTCCTGCACCTGCATGCCCCACCTGCCCAAGCGAGCTGGACCCACCTTTTCCCACACATGCTATCCCATACTCACCAACACGTGCCACACGTGCTCGCTGGCCCTGCGGAAGCTGCAGAAGCGCACACTGGCACCCAGTAGGCCCTGGCCACCCCACATGTTGCTGGGTACGACCTCCACCTCGCGCACCTTCATGGTCTTCATATTGAACACTTCCAGCTTCACAGGCTTCTCCACGTTGGCCTTCAGCAAGGCCTTCAGTGTGTCATTCTCCTTGTTCTGCAGGGGCAGCAGGGATGACTCCTAAGCCCCACTCCGATCCCCAAGCCAAGCCCCTCAGACAGCTGAAGGCCTGAGATAGGCAATGGACAGGCCTGGGTTCACTGGTTCACTGGACCCCCACCTCCCAGTATCCCCCAGGCACAACCATATCCCTGCCCCCCCCAGCCAGCAAGAAAACACAACATAGCAAACAAAGAGCCTCCCACACACCCAGTGGGCCCCTTGGCCAGAGCCCCTGTGGGCAGGCCCATAGGCCTTATGGCCACCTCCTAGAGTCTGGGCAGGGATAGGTCAGAGGGGCACATGCACTCAGCAAAGCAGAGATGGGTAGGAGAGTCTCACCAGCCGTGAGTGCCCAATGGTGATGATGAAGTCAAAGTAAGGCTCCAGGCCCGCCTGCTGTGCCGGGGAGTTCTCCTGCACCTGTCCCACAGTGAGGCCAGTCACTACACCAGCCCACCTCCTCAAGAGGCCCCACCCGCAGTGCCAGGAACCATGGCCACTCCTCGTGTCCCTGAGAGGTCACATGCCTGGCGTGAACTGCACCGGGCACTCACAGTCCACCCCTTCCCCTCTTTCTACCTTCTGGGACACAATTTTCCTCTCAGGAAAATGGCTCTGCTCCTGATTATGACCTACAGATGCTTCCAGAGAGGGCTCACAGCCCAGAGCTACCTTCATGAGCCATCAGGAGGCAGCAAGGAGCCAAGCTGGCACAGGGAATGCTGCTGTGGGCTGGCCAGAAAGCCAGTGGAGTTACCAGAAAAGTTCCAACACAGACAAGGAGAGCCCCAGCATGCAGGGGAAGTGGCAGGAGACATACAGCCAGGGCTGTGCCTAGAAACGGGGAGCAGGAAGGGTGGCCAGATCCTGGAGGACCCCCGAACCTGGGCTGGCTGACCTCGCTTGCCACTGACACATGCTGGTGAAAGGCGGGCCACGGGCAGGACTGGGCCTGAGGAGCCTCCCTGGGGGCTCAGCTACACCATCAGCCTCACAGTCCTGTCCCCACACCACTTGGGACACCTCCTCGGAGCCATGCTCACCCCCAGGACGCTCCTCACCCTCCATACACTCTCCAGTTCAGGGCTGGATCCAGAAGTACAAGCAGGCTGCAGCAGGAATCTCTCAAAGGCCCCGTTTACAGCCTCGCCCAGACACTACAGCCTTTGTCCCCAGGTCCTGGACCCTGAGGGTGGCCCACACTCAAACCTTTGGCTGTGAACACAAGATGACCCCTTGGGACAGGTTGTCAATGAGCCCCCAGGCAAGAGGATATTGAGCTCATGTGGCCTTAGGTCCTTGTATCCCCAGCCCCTCCAGTCCAGAGTCCCCAAGCTGAAAAAGAGCTTGCTGAGAACAAACTGCTGAGCCTCTGGATCAAGGCCATTTTGCCCCTGGCATTGGGACTCCTTTCTGGCAGTGTTGCAAATGAGTCCCTGCTTGCCATCTCCAGAAGCTGCCATGGCTTTCAGTGGAAGTGGGCTCAGCAACCAACCCTGGCCCTGCTGGCCTGACCCAGAGAGCAAGTTGCTCCCCTCCTGCAGGGGACCTCTGAGTCCTCCCAGGGCTTTTGAAAACTGTAAGACAGAGCTGGCCTGGTGGGGTTTTCCTCAGCAGGGCCACTTCCAAAACCACTACATCTCCCTCAGGCAAGACACCTGCTCCCCTCCTTAGCACTGGGTGTCAGCTGCCCCCATCATTAATAAGGTCCTGAGGCTCAGCCCCCAGTCCCCAGGACCGGCCCTCTCTCAGCACCTCCAGCTATGCCCCTGTCCTCTGGCTGGCTATACTCCACTTCAATGGCTCTGGGCTCGTCACTGGTCACTAGGGCTCCACAGCAGAAATAATCTCTGCTGCTACATCCCCTTCATGCAAAACCCACTGCCCCTCTATCCAGCTGTCCCTGGAGACTCCCATCATGCTCCACTCTGCAGCCCCACAACGTGTGCTGCTTTTCCTAAGACCCCAGCCTACTCTTCCCCACCAGGGACCCTTATGGGATGAACAACAGCAGCTCATGCGCACTAAACGCTGGTTGGCTGACCACCTTTTACTAACCTCAATTTACAGATGAGAAGAGACCCAATAATTTAGTAATCTGACCCCAGGAAATCCAACTCAGAGTCCTCCCCTTAGCACTGCCATGTAACAGCCATTTTCTTCAGATCCTCCACTCAGCACACTTGTTCTTCAGTTTTTAAAAATGTGAGATTATGTCACACCTCCACTTAAAACCTCCCAACAGCTCCCATCTCGGAATAAAACCCTAAATATTCAGGACATGCAAGGTCCGGTAGGGCCTCATCCTCTACCCTCTCCTGACGCTAGCCACACCGTCCAAGCACTCCTACCTCACCTTCTTCATTTCCTCAAACAGCAAGCATCACCCACCTCAGCACCCCTGTGCTGCTGGGCCTTCCACCAGAAACACTTCTCCCTCATACCTGCGCTAGCCATTCTTTACTTCCTGTAGAGGCCTCTGTTCAAATGTTACTTGGTCAGGTCTTTCCTGACCACTGCGTCCAAAATGACACCCACTCATCATCTTTTCTCCCTTAATTTGCTTTTTTCTCACTAACAATTATTACTACCTGTCATCTGTTTCTTTATGGTCTCCCTTCTCTCCAAACTGGCATCCAAACGTAAGCTCCAGGAGCACAGAGATGATGTCTATTTTGTTCACTACTTTATCTCTGGTGCCTAGAACTCTGCCTTTGCAGCAAGCTGTGGACCCTTGACTTACCAACTCAATTCATTCTAGAGGGCTGGTTGTAACTCAGGTTGGTTGTAAGTCAAGACTATTTTCCCCATAAGAAATAATGGAAATATCCATAATGCATTTCGAACCTCCCAAAGCACCCCCAACTAACCTTTTAATAATAAAAGAAGGGTGGGGCCAGGGATTAAGCTCAATGGCACCGAGCTTGCCCCGAAAGCACAAGTCCTGAGTTCGATCCCCAAGTACCAAAAAATAATAATAATAATAATAATAAAAGAAGGGTTGTATAATGTGCATAATTTACCAGAAACACCAATAATTTTCCTAATTTACTCCCGCCATAACTCGTTGTTCGTATGTCAGGCCGGTCGTAACTCGAGGGCCCATTTTACTCAAAAATACCCATGTGAAGGATGACCTCTAATCCTTCGACCTCCTCAATCTGTCCCTCTCCACTAGGCCCTCCTGTCTCCACTCCTACCATCATCGAAACTCCCCACCAGCCAGTATCTTAAATTGCTTTGCCTTCCATTAAACCTGCTGGCCGACTCTCTGGTCTGGATGCAACTGTTGTCCCTGTGGTTGCCTGGCCATGAGGAAGCCCAACCCCAAGCACAAAGCCGTCAACTCTGGTTTCTAAAAGCCATCTTGGCTTTCCCGTGAGAAAACCTTCATTAGCTTTCCAGGTGGTCGGTGGTACCAGAGCCTCCCTTCAAAACAGACCACTCAACAGCCAAGCACCAGAACGGCAAACAGGCCTACACCCACCTCTGCACCCCTCCGCTTTTCCCAGCCTAAAATGGGGAGGGAGGGATCAGAGGCACTTCTGTCCCTCTCTTCCCAAATCCTGACCCGGCTGCAGGCCCCTCTCATCATCTTTTCAGACCGACCAGGAAGCCCACTGTCGCCACTTTCCAGCAGCCTGACGGTCCAGACTTCCCTCCAAACTCACTCCGGAGCAATTCTAAGCCCGCCTGGCCGGGCCCCTGAGGTGTGCACGCTGGGGAGCCTCCCGAGCTCCAAACGCTCAGCGGGCTTCTGCGGTGTTCTGGGGGCCTCCCGCGTCCCGCTTCCCTCGCTGGTTCAGCAGTCCTTGGTCCCTGTAGCCTTCCCGACCCGCGACAGGCAGGGATGCGTGCCCACTGCTCCCCAGGGCCTTGGACCACCCGGTCCTCGGCACCGCTGGCTCGGCCCAGGCCAACAGGGCGTCCGGACCTGCGAGACAGAGGGTCCCCGGGCGTTCTTCACCGAAAAGCGCCGCCGCTGAGCGCCACCAGGAAACGCCAGGCTTCCGGCACAGCTGGCAGTAGGCGCGGGCGCACCGAAGGCCAGGCCCAGGCGTCCCCGACCGGCACGGGCCACCGCAAACAACCCTCGGTCGGGCACTTGGCCCCAGACGCTCGCCTCCAGGTCCCTGGCGCCGCGGGGCCAACTCACCCCATGCAGGTGGAAGCCCTCGGCGCCGCCCGCCGGCTGCTCGGCGCTGGCGCCCAGGCCCATGGCTCGGGCTTGTCGGCGCCGAGTCCAGCAGCTCCGTGCGGACCCGGGAGGCAGCGTTAACTCGCGCTCTCGGCGCTCGACTAACAGCAACTTGTCACGTCAGCGCTGTGCTCCGCCCACTCTGCACAATTCCGCGCTTAGCAACCAGCTGGCAGCCAGGTTTCCAAGGACGCGCCAGTCTCCGACTTCCGGCTGCGAGAGGCTTCCCCGCGACCTTGACCCGGGAATCCGGCTCGGCGCTGCTCCTCCAGACCTGGACTTGGACGCGAGCCGCTGGAGATGTGCAGCAGTGACTCCTCCCTCCTGGTGCGTGGCCCGGCGCTGTTCCTCTCCGACACTCCGCCCCCGGCCAGGTGACCCTCAGCCCTGCTGCTCTCCGGCCACCTCCCTAGCTGCCCCTTTCTGCCCCCAGCACCTCTGGAGTCTGGCCCGAGCTTGCCTCCCTCCTCCTGAGTAGTGTCTCGCCTCTGGTACCTTCCAGGCATCCTGGGCCCCAGATTAGTGCCCCTCCTCTACCCGGTCCTGTACCCTGAGCTCCCCCAAAACAAGTCATCTCATCTCCATTATTTTATCTCCATCTCTTCCCTTAACCCCCTCTACTTCCTACCCCCGCCTGTGCGTTTTCTGCATCCCCCACCTCAGTAGATGCCACCACTATTTGATCTCCAGCATTAAGTTGTACCTCTTCCCCTTACCCATCTCCCAGTCCTGTCAGTGAGAAATGTCACCTAAATGAATCCAGGGCTCACCCTCTTTTTATCTGCTAGCCCAGGGCCACCACCTTCTCTCCCCTGAACAGCCGAAACTTAGCCTCCCCAGGTCTGGTTTCTCTGCTTCAGCTCTCTTCATCAGCATACCTCCAGTTGCCCACCCACACATGCACACACACCACCACCCCACACGCAGCCAGAGCAGTTTTTACAAAAACATATCTGAACCCATCCCTCCCCTACTTAAAACCGTTCCAACTGCATCCTCTTTATTACCTTTAAGATAATGGCTGCTTCTTTCATATGACCCACAAAGCCTTTACAATCTAACCACATCTGTTCCCATCCCTAATATCCACAACCCTTGGAGGAAGTGAGACTTGGCTTTGAATCTCTGCCCCATTACTGCATGACCTTTGTCAAGCCAGTGTCTAAGGGCTTCAGCTTCCTTAACTGTGAAAGAAATGGAGAACATCATACATAATATAATGGATTAAAGCCCTTGATAACAGTTCCCAACAGGTGGCAAGCCCACAATACCTTGTACCTATATACTGTTCTTCACTCTTTCTCCTTATTGCTCTCCTAAAACAAACCTGAGTTGAATTCCACATCACATTTTAACCAGAATCTGGTGGTAATTCCTAAACAAAGACCTACAAACTTGTTCCCAGGGAAACTTCATGTAGCTATTCCCAGGGCTGCTAAAGGACTGGATGAAATGTGAATGTTCCCTCTTTCTCTTCCTTTTGCACACTCTTAGGAGTGGGGGTGGACAGAGAAGGGAGCGAGTCCCCTCCCATCTGGGTCAGAACAGAGACAGGGAAGGACCGGGGCTATTACAACTGGGTCTTCCTCCACACAGGCTGGGATCATTTACTATAGCCAGGAAAAGTACTTCCGCCATGTGCAGCAGGCTGCAGCTGTGGGCCTGCAGAAATTCAGCAATGACCCTGTGTTGCAGTTCTTTAAATCTTACGGAGTCCTCAGGGAAGGTAAGGACACAGCATTGTTGGCATTCTGACACCAGGCACTAACCAGTGCTTACCAAGCTCTGGCTGCACCTGGATGCCTACTTATATCTTAGTTACATTTCATGGAAGCTGTTCTACTGACTGTAACACAGATTAATTCACAGAAGCCAATGCAATCCATATCTAGTTAACCCTTGAGAACTCAGCTCACTTGCTCTGCACCGCAGTTTTCCTGCATAAGATGAGTGGCTGGAGAGATGGCTACATGGCTATTGAACTAATTCCAGGCTGTAGGCTGGTTGTGCAGGTAAAAGAGAAGGAAGTGGTAGGTGTAGTTACAGGCAGGTGCAGGAAGAGGAGGGGCTTGTGCAGTGCTGACTCACTGACATACAAAGGGTGCCCCTGAGTTGCCAGTGCCAATGGCAGGGAACATGAAGATAAGTGTCACTCCTGGCTCTGGAGTACCTAGCTGGGAGTATCCTGCCTGAGGTCTTTATTTAGAACTGACCCCCAACTCATAGTCCCAGTCTCACAGGTATGCCCACAAGTACTTGAAGGCACATTGCTCAGCTTCGAGATGCCAGCCCCTGGCAGCCTGGACCATGGTGCTGGCAGCCCTTTTGCAGGGAGGAAAGCTAATCTCCAGGGAACTTGAGCCACAGGGGGCCTTTCAGCCCAGTTAGTCCTCAGACGCTGGGTGAAGGCAGGCAGTGCAAGCCATGGGTCGGTGCTGGTAGGGATCTGTGTATCGCCAGAGTTTCCTGGCCTCTGGGCCTGGAGCCTGAGAGCATAACCATGTGGACTCTGCAGAGCGCGTCCAGGATGCCATCAGTGAGCTGGAAAACATCCGTGGTCACCCAGACCTGTCCCTGTGCTCTGTCATGGCCCTGCTTTATGCTCACAAATGCTGTGAAATTGTCGGTGAGTACAGCCCCTTTGAGCCAGGCCTGGCCCAGCAGGAAGAAAGCACACTCCAGAAACACATGGCCCCCAAGGCCGCTGATGGAGGCCTGTGAGGAGAGGCTGCTGCTCCTGTTCCTTCCCCAAGGGCCTCAGAGAGGACCTCATGCCAAGACCCAGTTAGTGAGAGCCAGCAGAGAGCAAGACAGTGTGAGGGCTTAGATCCCAAGAATCGGGGAAGATCCTTCATTCCTTTGCCAAGATCTTGTCAGAAAAATCAAGCCAACATAAATAATCTCACCCCTAATCTCCACATCTCTAGAGTCAGAGAGGAGCCAGGAGAATGTACAGCTGCCCTTTCCCCACCCAGGATGAATTATGGGCCTGAGACCAAGGATTCCCACCAGGTCTGTTTGCTCCGCACACTACTGGCACAGAACAGAAAGGATAAATCTCAGAGCAGACTGTGTCTAGGCCCAGCAGCCCTTGCGGCACTGAAGGGCAGGTATCACTGGTATCCAGGCCCTGGGCTGGCCTGTAGTCAGCTGCATCTGTGGAGGCTGAGCCAGAATGTCCAGAGACGCTTCCCTGAGCCTGCGGTACCCTCTATGGAAGCAGGGAAACCTCCTTGTCCTAACTCAGCCTCTTCCTCTGCCCTTGGATTTGCAGATCGAGAAGCGATTCAGGAGCTGGAGACCAGCCTGAAGGAAGTCCGAGAGCAGGCCAGTGAGACTGCCCTGTACTACGCTGGGCTCTTCCTCTGGCTCATAGGCCGCCACGACAAGGCCCGGGAGTATGTTGACCACATGCTGAATGCCTCCAGCAGCTTCAGAGAGGTACCAGCCACCTGGGTACCCAGCTATCCTGAGGGCAGTGGCTAAAGACAGCAGATTTGAGCATATCACTGCGGCGTGGCCCATGACTCCCGAAGAGGGTGCTTGAACTAGGGGAGGGCAGCCCCCAGGTGACGAGGCCATACCACCCACGTCGTCTTGCAACACAGTGACATTTGTCCAGAATCCCATCTCTAGGTTTTCAGAGTCTGCATTATGCTTTCGAAAAAAATCTTGAATTCATTGCTGACATTTTCTGAAATCAGAAAATTTGTACCTAAAAGTCCACATTTCCTGGTTCTTTGAAAATCCAAATGAGCTGGTCACACAGGGCCATTCCCTCCCT